TCGAAACTTTAATTTGTAAAATATTAAACCCGTATTGTAAAATTCTTCTTGATAAAATTGAGATAAAAACTATATTTTTCAATATATGTTATATACAATATGTAGCAAAAAAATGAATATTGTTAGAGGTGAACCGATATATTGCTTTATGTATTAGAATAATTATTTTAAAAAATAAAGAAATTACGAAGCGGAAGACTAATAATTTATATACGCGAAATATTTAATCGCGATATACGCGGTATATTTAAAATAACAAAATTATATACAATAATTAATTTAGTGAAGAAATTCACTTATGTACGAAATCGCGTACGAACTTGTTATAATAAAAAAAAAAAATTTTGAGAATCGCGCACAACCCGATAACACGTCCGTTACTCTCGAGAGACCGACGAGATCTGAGACTACGCGCTGCGCTGTAGAGTAGCGCAGTAGAGCTTCCCACCACGCGCTTCTGCGCTTTTGAATTTTCTTTCGCGTCGCGGGCCCACAGTTGCATAGTAGGCGTTGAGTTGGCTTCTCGAGCGTCAAAACAACAAAAAAAATCTCACTGTTGGAAAACACATTTACAAGTATTCATATTTTTCACATTACATATTAAAATGTAAGAAATTTATTACTTTTCGTTCTTTCTCTTTCCAGATAATCGCAAATAATTATATTCCACGCTAACAAATATTTCTTGTTTGGTCAGTTGCGAGAATAAAACATGAGAACTCGGAGAGAATCACGGTAAAGTTATAAATTTATCTCGCAATGTACATTCGAATAATTTCTTACATTTTAATACGCAATGTGAAAAATATGAGTAATTGTAGACGTTTCTACAACGATGAGGTTTTTTTTGTTGTTTTCATACTTGAGAGAGAAACCGCTTGTTTTCCTACTACGCGATTGCTTTTACTACTAGCAAAGAAAATTCAGAATAAAGTAATAAATTTCTTACATTTTAACACACAATGTGAAAAATATAAGTAGTAGAGTGTATTGATATATTATATTCAACAGCCGAAATGTTTTTCTCAACGGCGAGTTTGCATTGTTGTTTGGATGCTCGAAAAATCGTTTTTCTTAAAAACGTTTTTATTAGAAATGTATTTTCTATAACTTATATTCGGTCGCGAAGAGAGAAAAATGTTTTCCGTTATTCTCGGATCTTTTAACTAAAATTAGAATAAAGTTAAAATATAATAGAAAATTACAGTCTATATTACACTACAAAAGTTTATCACGGAAAAAGAAAATAATTCGAACAAAAGTACTTATATACACCACCATTTACATGTATTAGAGATATAAATGACAGAAATTTTATAACATTGCAAAAGTGGTAGATAGTATAAATTGCTTTTATTAATGTTAAATAATCATTATTGTATGTTTCGATCATTATACGTTTCTACACGTGTAAGGTTAGCGCGGTGAATATCGCGAACTATCGCGCGCGCGTTCGATTCGATACTTCGAGAATCGCAATATCGCGCTTCGATACATTCGTTCCGGCTCCGGCAGACGTAGTGGACGCGCGACGCGGAGCGGTAGTTCTCGTTGAAATTAGATTATTTTTCGCAATTGTTGTCGTCTCGCACGTAGATATCAGTAATGTGCGTGTGCCACAAAGTGTCGGGCGTTCGAAATAATACGTAATTGGTGTCACACACGCGTCGAAAACGATACAGATAACGTGTTTGACGGTGAAGTTGTTTCGCGGCGTTCGCGTTTTCGCGACACACAAAATGGCCAGCGCGCAACACGAAGCGCAAGTACGTTCGAATTGTTTCGTTTATTTCTCGCGTTTATTATCATCTCGCGCGCGAATATCAGTAGTTCGGTATGTCGCAAAGTGACGGATGTACGCATTGATACATAATTCGTATCGCGAATGATAATCGGCGAGCATTACGATTAGGCAATCTCCGGACTATTTTGAAAGCAATCTGAAGGTCAGTGTCGTATTTGCAAGTTCAAAACACATTTTNTTTGAAAACTGCAACTATGTTTAACTTATTTAAAAGTTTAATTATCTCTCTCTCTCTCATAGTTAATTTTATTAATTTTCTTTTGCTTTTTTAGTGTTCAGGACGCAGTGTTTACGCTGAGGAGAGGTGCTTGTCTTGCGGACCAGAGAAGCTTATTCAGGCAATAGGATGCTGGCACAAAGGTATGATGGTTTTACGTCATTTTTATTTATAACTGTTAAATACATTTTTTTGTATGAAATTTTGGAATTCTTACTTATCTATTAAAGCCATAAGTACTTTGATATTTACATAAACGTTAAAAACTTATCTTACATCTGACAATAAAAAGAAAATTTTCTTTTTGTTACAGAGTTACGTATGCAGAAGGTGACCAGTGCTCGGTGAGTAAACTTTAGGGTTGTGGTGATGGTAATTTGAAATCAGTGCGAAACGCGTGTTCACGAGGTTTGAAACATCGGGCACGTAATTTGAATATATTCTGTAGTGATATATATGCAATTATGTTATAAATTTACTTCAAAATAAAAATCATGAGTCTTTTAACAATAAGATATAGTAACAATTATGCTGGAATTTGTATAAACAGTCAGATGAAAGAAACGAGAAATTAACATTGTTTTTAAAACTTCTTAGACATATATTCTTAGACATATAGAAATTAACAGTTTTTAAAAATTCTTAGACATATATATCACTATGATATGATTTGGCATCATAAAATATAGATTATTTGATATTTTTGTAAAATGTGGTGTTGATAAAATGATATTTTTGTAAATTGTTTGCTCGATGTTTCAATCTCCATCAAAGAGAAATTTTTATCCGCTCTGTCTGCATTGATGCCTAAAGTGCGTCACAAAACACGAAGCCTTTGATAGATTAAAATCACGATTAGTCCGCGTAAAATATTAGATTTACTCTAATTATTTGACCATTTTATTTTTATTTCCGCAATATACTTTAATTTCTACGGATTGGAATTCATTATATTCGAATATCGCGAAAGATTAATAATATTTGTATTTTCTAAAGTCGAGAGAAAAAGAAAGAAAAATAACATTAAAGATATTCTATTTCTTATTTGTTAGAATCTAATTAGTATCTGTACGAGATTTTTGTCGACTACTCAAATGTAAAAAGAATATACGTATTCGCGATAGTTAAATTGGTGTTTTCGATTTAAATTCGCGATTTTGAAGATATACGCGTATTGTATAGAAACACGTAGAACGTTTTACGATTAGCAAAAGTATCATGCTTCGCTCTCTCTCTTGAAAAAGCAAAATAATTCTCGCAAAACTGCGGGAAATCTTCGCAATAATATACTGCGGAGCCAACACGAGATTTGCGTAACAGCACTACGCAAATAATGGATCATACGTCGAAATAAACCGAAAAACTCGTTCCGATATAAAAATATCTGTTATTCGAATTTGTTCAAGTGTTAATCGAGTTTCGCCAAGTCGTATCGATTTAGAGAAATACGCGCGATAATTTCATTTATTTGAAAATTTCTTTAGTTGAAATATTCATTTTTCATTTTCATTTATTTGAGTTGTGAAAAATTCGGTAGTGGTTAAAGTATGGACTTTAGAAAAGTATAGACTTTGAACTGTGTTAAGACGTAAATTCCGCGTGTGTGTTGAGTGCATTTCGCGTCTTCCGCGTCGCGGGTGATAAAAAGTGCTATGGACAACGTGGAACCGCACGCAAAGTCCGGTGGACCATTTCCATAGAGGATCGAGAATAGGAGAGAGAAGGATGGAAAGGGTTGGAGAAGAAGATACATCGATGGACGACGAAGGGACCGCACAAATATGAGTTACTATATCAATTTTCATCACTTGTTCCTTTCAGCTAAAAGTTTTTTTAACTTTTTTATATATTATATACGTAGTGGTATAATTTTACACTTTTCCAGAGTTAAATTATATTTGTAATAGACTTCAATTCAGGTGTTAAAAAGATTTTTTTATTATTTTTATTAATACTAAATCTATATAAAGATTAGACTTTAGATATGCAATTTTCATACAAAGATATACAGGTATTTATATTCAATAAAGCTGAAAGGAACAATTTGTTTCACATTGCATGCATAGTGTTCGCTTATATTGGTCGCACTGATTTCCAATAGCGTAAATAAAGACAATCATACATTTTAGAATGATTTTCTTTATTCGCTATCTCTTTATATGAATTTGGTGCTGGTATATACATACAAATTAATGTTTTTATACATGTTGTTTTTATTGATGACATTTTTGCTCATTTATTATTTTGTGATGCAAATATCTATATATGTTGCTATTTAAAATTTTACATTAATGACATTCTTGCTTATTTATTATTTTGTGCTGTGAATATCTATACATGTTGCTAATTACAATTTTACATTATCCATCCTTTTTGGACTTGGTTTTAACTCTTAGATTTCTTTATAGAATTCTTTTTCGTGAATTCTTCTTTAACTTTTCTTATATATTTTCTCAACATATTTATGATGTAAAATCTATTTTATAAAATAAATCCTTTTGGGGGCGTAAAATAATATTAACTAATATAAACATAAAATGATAAACTTATATTTGGGTAAATATATAAAAAATATTAAATTGCGGAAAGTATTTATTCATCAAATCAGGCAATTAACTAAAGAGTGATTGGTCCATTCTACGAAAGACTTGCGACTTGCGTTTGTGGTTGCTTCTAATGTAGGATAGGCATAATATGATTGGCTAAATCTCATGACTGTGACGATACGTGCAATGGTCTTTTATGTATTCCGACGTTCATTGTAAACTGGATTTAAATACAAGAAGCGCCGCTTAGACTGTACGAGGAACTACAATTGTAACCTTGGGTGCGTTCAGACAACTCAACAGTTGCACAACGGTTGAGAGATAATCACTTCTGATTGGATCATACTTTTGGAACCGAATTAGATTTCGAAGAATAGTCCTATCATAAGTGATGATCTCTCAACCGTTGAGTTGTCTGAACGCACCCCTTGTTTTCTATTTTTCCGTTCCTTCTTTTTCCGGTGGAGTTTTGATACATACTGTAGAACACGATGCAGAAGGTAGATTTAATATTTTATAAGACCTATCGAAAAAGAAATACTGATTGCGCGTGATTCTATAATATATAATTTTTTTCTAGAAACAAAAAGAACCGATTCATTCCGTGCAGGTTTTCGGACGCAAGGTGAATTACACCAACGAGAATGATTGAGGTTATATCACCGCGTGTTTCTCACGCTTACAATAAGTGTAATGCAAATTTTCATGCGTTTTAGAAAAGTGCGACCGCAGTTGCTTACTGCAAACGCGGCCGTGGAAATCTTCGTGTCAATGGCCGACCATTGGAGCTGGTAGAACCTCGTGTTCTTCAGTATAAATTGCAGGAACCTATCTTGCTGTTAGGCAAAGTAAGGAAAAAAACAAAATCATGCAAATGTAGAAATTGTTTAACTTAATGATAGAGAGAAATCAACACTAAAATCTCAGGTTTTGAACTTGTTGCTTTTCCTTATGGTTTCATCTTCTATCAGTCTATGATGTCTAGTTATTCCGAATATGACAGTTAGTGATTAAAACTGGAATCTCTGAGTTTGCAGAATTAATTGAAGTATAAGATTCGGTAAACAGGAGAGGGTTTTATTTATTTGTTTTGTAGGAAAAGTTCTCTGGAGTTGATATCAGAGTAAGAGTAAGTGGCGGTGGTCATGTCGCACAAATCTATGCTATTCGACAGGCTATCTCTAAAGCTCTTGTTGCATATTATCAGAAGTGTAAGTACAAGTGTAAAATCAGTGTATTGACTATTTTGCTATTGAAAACTAAGTATAACTTATGTTTTAGATGTTGATGAAGCCTCTAAAAAAGAGGTAAAAGACATTCTTATCCAATATGACCGCACACTTCTGGTTGCCGATCCCAGAAGATGTGAGCCAAAGAAATTTGGTGGTCCAGGTGCCAGAGCACGATACCAGAAATCTTATCGTTAAATGTACATTTTACATTGCATTTTATTCATAAAATAAAAAAATTCAATATCTTGTATGTTTTGAGAGCTTTTTGATTTGTTAAATTTCGAATTTTTGAAAAAATTTGAAATTTATGTGTTTATCTTCTCTCAAATGTCTCCTGTCCAACAACTTATTCCAACTTGAATATACTCTACTTTGTAAAGAACAAAATTGCCTTGTCAAAATCAAAGCAAAAGATTTATTAAATGAATTTATATGATTTTTTTTTATAAGAAATATGTTTTATATATATAATTTTTTTTCTGTATATTTTTACTACAGGTTTTAGAATGATCTTTTGATTTAATTGCTTATATCATACATGATGCTGAGATGTAGTTAAAAATAAGTGTGTGCACTCATCCAAAAAAAAAAAATGTATGCAACATTCATCAATATAATTTAGATTAGATGAAGTATACGCAAAGTAAATAAGATAACGGAAAAATTGCAAAGTCACAGAAAGTTTGATAAAGAATGTTTACTTGCTTATATATACATGTATCTTTTCCTCATTCGTAAGCTCGCTTGAGTAGAACACGTGTAACGTCATATTGTGTAAGCATAATAGTGTTATGTCAAACTGTCGTAGTATTTTTAAGAAATCTTTTACGAAAAGCAACTCACATCTCTTTGAAAATGAAGACACGATTCAATACCTACGACCTTGTATGTTCGGTAACTGAACTACAAAAGTAAGCAAATAATAAAAAGAATATTTAATTGTATAGAACGTTAAGGTTATGACTACCAAATTCAATTTTTTCAATAATAATTTATTTTCGAACTATTTGCAACGATTTTATCTCAATAAATGCTTGACTGTTGTTGCCAAATAAGTGTTATATAGAATAATTATAGATATTAATGTAAATAATTTATGTGATATGAATTTTTAAGTATTATGGATTCTCTATATATACAAAACTATTTCGTACTCATAAAGAAATAAAAATAACTTTTAGGCTTATTGGTATGCGAGTTAATCAAATATACGATATAGATCATCGTACATATCTTATTCGTTTTCAACGTAGCGAGGAAAAATGTATGCTTTTAATTGAATCTGGTAATAGAATTCACACAACAGATTTTGAATGGCCAAAGAATGTAGCTCCTTCAGGTTTTTCGATGAAGGTATTTGAAAATAATCTTACAGGTAATAAATAATATAAATAAATAATATAAATATTACACACGTTTGGCAATAATTTTGCAGATGCGCAAACATCTTAAAAATAAAAGATTAGAAAGTCTCACCCAAGTTGGTACGGATCGAATAATAGATTTACAATTTGGAAGTGGTGAGGCTGCATACCACATACTTTTGGAACTGTTTGATCGTGGTAATATAATTCTTACTGATTGTGAGATGATAATTTTGTATGTCTTAAGACCTCATACAGAAGGAGACAAAATAAGGTAAAGGCACAAATATGTCTATGCCAGATAGAAAATATAATTTATAGAAAACACTAACAAAGTTGTACAATATTTAGATTTGCGGTAAAAGAGAAATACCCATTAGACAGAGCTCATACTGAAACAATGCCACCTATAAATGTGATTCATGAGCATATTCAGAAATCCAAGGAAGGAGAAAGTCTCAAAAAAGTATTGAATCCACTGTTAGAATTTGGTTCTACTGTGATTGATCATGTTTTACTGAAAGTTGGATTCAGTCTTGGTTGTAAAATTGGTAAAGATTTTAATGTAACTGAAGATATGCCAAAACTAATTTTAGCACTTGAAGATGCAAATAACATGATGTATACTGCAAAGAAAGATATATCAAAAGGCTACATTATTCAAAAAAAAGAAACAAAACCATCTCAAGATGGCAACGTGGAATATGTATTTGCCAATATTGAATTCCATCCGTTTTTATTTGAACAATATAAGAAACAATCGTACAAGGAATTTGAGTCTTTCGATTCCGCAGTAGACGAATATTTTTCCACAATGGAAGGACAAAAGATTGACTTGAAAGCACTGCAGCAGGAAAAGGAAGCTTTAAAAAAATTAGAGCGAGTAAAGAAAGATCATGATCAAAGATTGATTACACTGGAGAAAACACAAGAAGTGGATAAGCAAAAAGCAGAATTGATTTCGAGAAATCAGGTTTTAGTGGACAACGCTATACTCGCTATACAGAGCGCGTTGGCAAATCAAATGTCTTGGCCAAACATTCAGGTTTTGCTGAAAGAAGCTCAGGCCGGAGGTGATCCTGTCGCTTCTGCTATAAAACAATTAAAGCTGGAAACAAATCACATTGCATTATTGTTACACGATCCTTATGAAGACAGTGACGAAGAATCTAAGCTCAAGCCCATGGTTATTGACATAGATCTAGCCCAGACAGCGTTCAGTAATGCCAAGAAATATTATACTAAAAAAAAGTCAGCAGCTAAGAAACAGCAAAAGACAATAGAGTCTCAAGGAAAAGCTCTAAAGTCAGCGGAAAAGAAGACGAAACAAACGTTGAAGGAAGTGCAAACTATACACACTATCAATAAATTAAGAAAAACATATTGGTTTGAAAAGTTCTACTGGTTTATTACATCTGAAAATTATTTAGGTAAGCTCCATGTTCATGCAAATTTATGTATTAAAAATTTTATTAGGTTTTGACATAAAATTCTAATAAAATATTCTGTGTAGTGATTGGTGGACGAGATCAGCAACAGAACGAACTAGTAGTGAAGAGATATCTAAAATCGGGAGATTTATATGTTCACGCAGATTTAACCGGTGCCAGTTCTGTTGTGATAAAAAATCCCAGCGGTAATCCCGTGCCACCAAAAACGCTGGCGGAAGCAGGCACCATGGCTGTTGCATACAGGTATTATATAGTTACGATGGTTTATATATTATATTTTATAATAGCGATTTTACTAAATATCCGCATTATACAGCATAGCCTGGGATTCGAAAGTAATAACTAGCGCATGGTGGGTGTATCACGATCAAGTATCAAAGAGTGCACCCACCGGTGAATATCTTACTACTGGATCTTTCATGATACGCGGAAAGAAAAATTATCTGACACAGAGTCAACTAATTATGGGATTGGGCATCATGTTTCGGCTGGAGGATAGTTCGATAGAACGACATAAAGGCGAGAGAAGAGTGAAAGCTCTCGATGAGGAAAGTGAAAAATCGGATTCAGTAGTCGAAGATGATAAAGAAATAGAGTTGGAAAGTGATTCGGACGAAGGTAAATATTTTTGAAATTTTTTAAAAATATTGCGTGTTTAATTATATTTTGAATAAATTAATGATTTTTTGTGTTAGATAATATAGACAATAAAGATACGTTACATCCAATACAAGAGGAAGACGACGCGAGAGAAGAAGAACAAGAGAAAGCAGAATCATGTGCAGTGGATAATGATGCTGACGAAAATGAACGTGAAGAAAATGAAGAAGACGAAAAATGTCAATTTCCCGATACGCAAATTAAAATTGATCTCTCGGGCCCAAAGTAAGTTAATTGTGAAATTTTTGATGTTCTGAGTAAAGTTAAATTATACGTAATATACATATAAAATATTTCTGTATAAAAAGGCTAAAACTACACGTTGAAAATCAGCCCTTATTACAAGCACAAGACAATACGGAAGAAAGTGTAGTTTACTTAGGAGATGACAAGCCTGTTATAATAAATACATCGAAGCCAAAAAAGCAGGAAAAAACGAAACAAAAGGAGCTTTCAAAAGAATCAACCGAAACAGAAAAGAATGAAAAAGATGAAAAAAACGATGGTGATAATAAAAAGGGAGAGCAACCTGTGTTAAAACGAGGGCAAAAAGGAAAACTGAAGAAAATGAGAGAAAAGTACAAAAATCAAGATGAGGAAGATAGACGACTCTCAATGCTTGTTTTACAGGTTCTTATTTTTAATATTTTCAATTTTGTATATATATATATTGTACGCTTGTGTGTAATGTATGTGTGACAATTTTTTGTTATTATTCAGTCGGCAGGCGCAGCAAAAGAGGATAAAAGAAAAAATAGAGCTAAAGATCCATCGGGTCCCAAACAACAAGGGAAAAAGAAAACAAATTCAAAGCCAAATGTTTCTCCACAACCTGTGCCTGTAATAGATAATATTGATGACGAAGACACTGGTCCAACACCTGAAGTCGATATGCTCGATCAATTGACGGGAAAGCCTTTCTCGGAAGACGAACTATTGTTCGCTGTACCTGTAGTGGCACCTTACAACACGTTACAAAATTACAAGTGAGTTAATACAAAAAGTATTTAAATCGTTTTACATGTGTAAATCTATATGTATTTTTATCTTTTAGATTTAAGGTAAAATTAACTCCCGGTATTGGAAAAAGAGGTAAGGCCGCTAAAACAGCGATAGCCGTGTTTCTTAGAGACAAAGAGATCTCCTCGCGCGAAAAAGACTTGTTAAAAGCAATTAAAGACGAGACAATAGCCAGAAATATACCTGGAAAAGTTAAAATAAGCGCTCCTCAGATTCAGAAGCTAAAGAGATGATCACCTGGTAAAGTATTCGATTGTGCTAACGAGAAATGTCTTGCATCTTTTTAAGTACTTTTACTGTTAATGCATAATATTTAATGAATATTAATTAACATGTTGCATAATGTTAAATATTCTGTTGCATAATGAATTTAATTTAACATTAAGAAATGTTAAATATTCTATTGCATAATGAATTTAATTTAACATTAAGAAATGTTAAATATATATTTCTGCTCCTACTGTTTAAAAATTGAAACATTTCAGCATTCAGATTCAAGTTTTTTTATTCTAAAAATAATGCCAAACAAGGCAGAGTATTTTTTTTCCGTAACAGAGCTGATCTAATAAACTTTAGTAGTTTACAAAACTTTTATATTTACAATTTTCGAATAACACTGTTTCGATATATATTGATCTGCAGATATATTAGTAATTAATGTATACAGCACATATAAAAAGTCTTGTATAAAACGTCTATAATCAAGGCACATCCTACAGACATTTATGATACAAGTATTACAATATTGTACTATTATTTCATTGAAAAAATTACTCAAAGATATCTTCCTCTGACTCAGTACCAACGTTCGATTTGACTGACTGCAATTTACTCTTGGTAGTTACTTTACCTCTGGTTCTCGATTTTGTTCCTTTTAACACAACCTGGAAATATATTAAAATATGTTAAATGCACTTATATATTACTCAATAAATTTACACTTTTATTTTTGTTCTCTCAAACAAAAATAAATATTAAATAAATATTTAAATTTTTTTATACCTCGGACTCTGAAGTAGTTTCTGAATCGTCCAACGACTTCATCTTTCGATTTGATGCGCTTGCAGCTGGCTTTTTCTGTCGTTTACTTGAACGTGGTTTTGATGCTGACTATAATAACAAAATACGAATTTAACAATATAAATTGACTTGAATTGATAGTTGAAAATAGTATCACATAGAAATTACACGTAATTACTTCCGATTCAAAAATGTCCTCAGAATTTTTGTTGTAGAGTTTTTTTCTGTGTGACGGGCCTGGCACTTCATTATTTTTAGGTTCTTTTTTTGCTTTTTTCAGAATTTGAATATCATATTCGTCGTCGGAATCCATTTTGTCTAATGCCGCCGCGATATCTTTCAAATTACCTCGTTTTTTGTCGATCACAACACCTACGGTACTCTTTCTTGAATATTTTGCAGGATGTGGAGGACTTTCTGAGACATCCGTCTGCTTCCTGCGCGGACTTTTTCTACTTTGTTTTTCTACCTTGTTTTCAGATCTTTTTGTGTTTTGTGAAGCACCGGGTGGAGTCGTATCAATGCTATTTAATCTCAACTTTCCATCTGGTTTACAATTCAATTTTTTTAAACCAGCTAGCAATATTTCCTTGAATTTTTCATAAGGCGGTTCTTCATTAAACTTCAGATTAGATAACAAAGTCATGAATTTTTTTACAGTTTCTGGAACTGTTCCGCAAAAACATTTGCTTAAGAAACCGGGTATATCTTTAAAAGCTTTTTCTTTTTCTTTTTGAACGGTAACTGCATCGGTTATCTTTTCCCATGGTAGCGAGCCACGTAACCACATAATCATATTGTAACTCAATATTTCAATATCACCACGCTGTGTTGGCACTAGAAATACGCGAATTAATTTTACATAAATTTACGAATTTATTTCTTGTCCTTTTAAATTTTAGAAAAAAAATTTATATATGAACATCAGAGATTGTTTCTTACCTCCCATATGGGCATCTCTGCTTGTGTACTGTAAAGTGCCATTATGTGCTTTCTTTGGATCAACTTTTAATTCAACACTTTTTGTACAACGACAAGCTAAACCAAAATCAACCAAGTAGACTTGATCGAAAGAGTTTAAATCCACTAACAAATTTTCAGCTTTGATATCGGCATGTACGTAATCTCTGCTGTGGATATATTCTAATATATCCAGCTGGAAAAATTTATTTAAACATTGCCGCTTATTAAAATAACAACTTACATAATATGAATAACTTTTTTGTTTACTATTGCCTTACTATTTGCAAAACCAGTTTATATACTATATGCTCTGGAAACTGTTTATTATTTTCAACAAATATTTTCCATAAATCTTTTCCATATCGATCTATCACCAAAAATCGATATTTTATATTTTTATACTCATGGCTTCCTGAGGCAATATATTTGGGCATTCCAAGCGCGGCTAGTTTCTTTTGTTTCTGCCATTTGGTAACTAAAATTATTAGCTGTTTTGTATAACCAATAAAAGGATAATTTTTTGCTAATATAATTACAAATGATTATAAAATAAAAAGTTTTAAATTTACTTTCATCCGGCTTGCAATTTCTCATGTAAAAGTGCATTTCTACAAATAATGGACCATTTCCATGAGGTTCCTATAAATCCAACAAAAATAAATTTGCAAAATATCATCAAAATATATAAGTTTAATATATATTTTGTAAAAAAAGTAAAATATACTTACAATTTTTATAACGTTAGGATAAATTTTTGGGACCTTGCTGGAATAGGGTGCAGCTACAATGAATCATTGATATATTATTTATATATACACATGACACATAAGATATATTTATTAAGATATCACATATAAAAGAAACGAAAATATATTGTTTATTCACACATATATTATTTTTCAATATCTCGCACGCTGGTTTGTTTACGTTAGCATCTAAATGATAGGCGAATAGCCTACAACAATGACTAAATAATCCGTTGCAAATGCAATGACAATAAAAAATTTATATACCAGAGTAAACCTCGCCGAAACCGCCAACGCCGATTGACTTGCCGAGAATCCACTGTCCCTTTGATAAATCCGTGAGAATTTCTCCCGCCGATATCGGGTCCGGCATTTGATAACCGTTTTTCTTTCGCGGTGCTCTCTTCGGTTTTGTTGCCATTGCGAGATGTCAATGCCGGAATCTCGTGGAAAATTAAGATTTGCAACACGACCCGAGATGCTCGACGCGATTAATTAACAAACGTGGATAACGAAAAACAACGATAAACAATTACAATACAAAAACAATATTGCGGGACAAATACTTGCTGTCGTTACGAGAAGCCCACCAGACGACGGGCAATCGCGTACAGTTAGTAGTAAAATTTAAATGTCTGGTCTCAGAATGGCCACTTGATGCTGAAAATAACTATGAGCACCCTATCGCTCTTAGCTTAGTTAATTTCAATATTGTGCGACAAAATGACGTATTTGTTTTGCAAGCACAGAGATAACGCGTTGCTATTAAATACCGTCAAATAGTCTCGTTAAGATAACTGTAGATTTTTATTATTTTGTGACGCGAAAAACAACACAAAAAGTTTATGTTGCCGGCCATGAGAGATTGTCTTCAAATTGGCGGCTGTCGCGAGATGTCGCGTGTACGTTGTGGAGGGAACGGCGTGACTTTTGTGACAAATGTCAACCGGTTTTTGAGTTTTTCGTTTTAGCGCGAAAATACAATAGTAGAACAGAAAATCATGCTCGTAACTGAATGACGACTTTGACGTGAAATACGAATGCGACTCTTTTGATGAGGCGGTGCGCGAGTGAATTAGATTCGTCGGAAATTGTTTGCCGGAATTTCTCGCGCGATCGCGGTCGAGGTTTAGGTTATCTTCGTTGACGGGTTTACTTTTATCTTCTCATTTTTAAATGGCAGAAACGTCGTTCGAAAACAACTGCAACAATGAGCCAGATGTCGAGACAACTTGCAGTGACACGGAACGTCATGACAGAGAACGCACTCCGCTACAGTCTGTGAAATACATCGACAACTCCATTTTCAATACCATTTCTAAAATTGTTAATCCTACGACAAAGGTTTGTTGAAAATTATCTTTTTTAATTATATTTTTCTCTCATGAGTAAGATATGAGGTTTAAGAATAATTGAATCAATGTTATATATTTGTAAATATTTTTTACATATTTTATATATATTTTTATACATATATATTTATGGTTAGAGATATCTCAATGTTGTTTATATATTTTTTATGGTTGAAAAAGGTATATTTCAATATTACTGTTTATATTTTTTATGGTTAAAGGAGTATATTTTATTATGGTTTCTATAAGACTATTATAGTATGTTAAATCCATATAATAATGTTGTTGTTTACATTTAAATTTCTCGAATGCAACTGTGTATACACAGCAAATTTCTTCTCAACAACAAGTTTTCTTCTCAAATTTTGAATTCTTTTCCCGTATCTACACTAGGTTCCAGATATCCAGGATTTTAAAATAGTAAAACCAATAAGCAGAGGAGCGTTTGGTAAAGTATTTTTAGGGTACAAGAAGTCCAATCCTGAGCAGATATACGCGATTAAAATGATGAAGAAGAACGAGATGATAAATAAGAACATGGCGTCGCAAGTTGTGATCGAACGCAACGCACTGGCGCTGACTCGAAGCCCGTATTGTGTACAACTGTTTTACTCGTTGCAATCTCTCAGCACTGTGTATCTAGTCATGGAGTATATGGTAGGCGGAGATCTCAAGAGTTTGCTCGGCGTTTACGGCTTCATGGAGGAGCCTATGGCGGCGTTTTACATCGCTGAGGTGTGTTTAGCATTGGAATATCTTCATTCGCACGGTATCGTGCACAGGGACTTGAAACCGGACAACATGCTTCTCTCGCGCGAGGGACACGTGAAGCTCACAGACTTCGGACTCAGTAAAATATCGTCCCTGCACAGAGATCTTGAAATATCCGATCTGGTAAATCCCACGACTCCTAGTTTATGCACGAGAACGCCCGGCCAGCTACTCTCTCTGACGTCTCATCTGTCTTTCGGCTCCGGTCAGAAGTCCAGCTGCGAATCGAATCTCAGCGACAGGAGTACACCCCTTAATCTACTCTCCGCGTTGCAGAGACATTGTACGAAGTCCGGAGGACACATGTCGCCGAATTCGGTTTCCTCATACGCCGCGTCTGAAGATTACTCTCGGATATCTGGCGTCACGCCTTTCCAATCGGCGGAAGATCTGCGATTCGAGCATAGTAATCAAAGTATAGAAGAGGATGACAGCCTTGGTAAAAAGCAAGAGGACGAAAACACAGACACTTCGGACAGCTATCACACCTGCGAAGCATTGTCTTCCGCTCCACCAAGCACCGACCATACTGTTGTTAACGATCATAATGATCGAACGGTTCATGCCGAACATACCGATCAGAACTTAGAAGAGGAAGAGAACGAATTCACGCTCGAAGCTGAACAACAGCCATCTCTCGTGCATACCAGTCCGGTGAGCACGTGCGCTAACTCATTCGTGATTCGGGGATCAAAGAGAAAGCGACCTGGAACGACATGCGGAACGACGGGTTTAACGTGCGAGATCAACGCTATGGATCTGGACGTCGACAGAACACCCAAGAGAAATAATCGTGACCCGATATTTGCCTGCACGAGCCCGATAACCAACGTTTCGGTGCCTGTAGATTCAACAATTGTCATCGCTGACGTTACAAATAACGGAAACAAAACACCGAATCAAAACACCGAGCAGGATGCTGGATCAGCTGGTAGAGTAGCTTTTAGCACACCAGTGTCTTCCACCAGGCAGAGAGGTGACAACGAGAATAAGGAACAGCGCTATGAAGAGGAGGACGCTAGGAGTTTCATAAAGACGAGATTTCGACTGCCACCACCGCCCGCTTTGCACTCTGCGACCGATCATACGGATTCGGACACCACATCCGAAGGTCACCGCTCGCCTCAAGGTATCTCGCCTATAAAGACGCCGGTGACATCAGGTAATTGTTACACGCCTTACAGAACACCGAAATCCGTCAGGAGAGGCGGTCAGAGTGGCGTTAGCAGATCGGACGACCGCATACTCGGCACGCCTGATTATCTGGCGCCGGAATTGCTGCTCAAAAAAGGTCACGGACCGGCTGTTGACTGGTGGGCGTTGGGCGTGTGTCTGTATGAATTCTGCACTGGTATACCGCCGTTCAACGACGAAACACCCCAGGCAGTGTTCAAGAATATTCTTGCGCGCGACGTTCCCTGGCCCAAGGACGGAGAGGCTCTGTCATCTGCCGCGACCGAGGCCATCGACGCGCTTCTCACGTTAGATCAAGCGATGCGACCCTCGGCAAAGGAGGTGCGCGCTATGGCCCTCTTTCACGACTTTCCCTGGAACGAACCGTCGAAAGCGATACCGCCGTTCATCCCACAGCCGGACGATAAGTACGATACGTACTACTTTCAAAGTATGTCGTTTCAAGAATGTCGTAATCTCTATGTCGTTTCAGAAATAACACCACGGTAATCTCATCGACATAAAGTCGCGTGTTATACAAATGTTAGAATTAAATTTCTTCAACATTGCATTTTCTTAACACGAGAAAAAAAATTTCAATTTTTTCCCTTGAAGAAAATATTTTCGAATGTTGAGGTGGTATTATTTCTTAAACGATGCTAGCGTACACACCTGCTGTCGCGGTGTTGCCGATAACATCGACGGCTAACAGTAAAATCTATTTTTTTTTTTTTCAGCACGGAATACTATGCAGCAATTGAATATAAGTAATTGCGATACGTAGCATTATGTCGCATGCAGACGTGGCAGAAATAGAAGCTTTATAATGTCGAGAAAAGATGGTATTATACATAACTTTATTTTTTATACACTCGTGTATGTATAGAGCAATATATAATATTCTTGTTATTACACTTGTAATCTCCAGGTTCGCATTTCTTATCAGGTAAATGAATGTAATGGTGGCTTTATATTAATGATAAACAAAAGCGTATACATGAAACACGATGATGTGAAACTTAAGATGATACGATTAATTAAAAAAAAAAAATATGACAATATTAAAGGACAGTGGTCAAAATGGGCAAACTTTTTTTTAATGCTATAAGCGAATTTTCCACGAGTTCTAAAATTCGCCTATTTTGATCATTTTCCTTTCTTAAAAAAAAAAAACAAAGTGAGACATATTGTTGCTTTTGACTACGAAAGCAAGATATTTTTGATACTGCTGTGAAGCTCTAATTTTTAATTGTCGGGGCTTAGTAGTTTTATCACATTTGTCAAAGCGAGTGCAATTCCTCTTGTCAAAAAAAAAAAGAAAAACAAAAAATGGCGACTGTGCAACAAAAAAAAAAGACGTGGAGGCAAATAAATCTCGAGTCTCTTCTACTTTAAATTCTTATAAATCCACGGCAAGAAATGTGTCACTCGCGTATACACGCCGGGATATTGTCCTTTCCCGCAACCGATACCCCAACTTACAATTCCAATTTGGGTCCACCTTCCGTCATTGACCATTAGAGGTCCGCCACTGTCACCCTGTGTGTGAATAAATGCAATGTTATCATGTTATTAGGCATAACGAAATTTAATTGTAAATATCATTATCTTATATCTATTGCACAAAATAAGATCGTGTACAAAGTTTTACTTCTCATCTAAAACTGATTAAGAATTAAAAAGAGATCTATTAAGTGTTTGTATCAATATAAAACTGATTAATAAATTATTAATCTCATTTGCAAAATTTATACGAACCGAGCATGAATCCTTGGTGGCTCGACCAGCGCACAAGAAACTGTCAATTATTCCACCCGGTGCTGCCGCACCGTATTTCGATTTGCACTCGTTGTTCGACCAAATTGGTATCGAAACTTCTTGCAAAATTGCTGGTTGAGGTCCGCCTAATCGAATGTGATAAATTATTATTAAATTTTGTGTAACGGATAACATTTTTCCAAAACATGTCAGAAGTTGTGTTTAACAAACACGCTTGCTCAAAAGAAATAGCTATGCAAATTGAACTCTTTCAAACTCAAATGCGAACTCGAGGAACGTTAATTTCTATTCTTGCTAGTACAAGTTGAAGCAAATAATGTTTCTTTTTGGTTTTGACAGTTTGTTTTAGATGACACGTGAGAGTTAAAAACACATTAGCATAAAAATCTTACTTTCTCTCAAAGAGCCCCAACCAATCACCGTGCCCGTTTTTCCGGAATACAACTGTGATCCGCTAGGAAGGCAAATGGGTCGAATTAATTCGGTGAATTCCACGGGCTCGTTTAATGTAAGAAGCGCGACGTCGTTGTACAACGTGCGCGCGTTGAAGCCTCGATGTCTCACGACTCTTTTTACGCGTCTCTCGACGTGACGGATCTCCGTGTTCGTTTTGAGATTGTGATCACCGAGCCGTACCGTCAATCTCGCCACGTCCCAAGAGTTCATACTGTAATTTACACACATGTGTTTTATATGCAAAAGATTTTAGACAAATTATTGTTTCAATGTAAATATATAAAAACTTGCTTTACGACGCAATGCGCCGCCGTCAGTATGTGTATGTCGTCAATGAGCGACCCGCCGCAGAACTGACGCCCCGCATTAAAAAGCGCGGCGATCCACGGCCATTCCCCTGGGTCGGCATTTTTCCCGCCTACAATCCGTTCCTGATCTTGATTGCCGTTCTTGGCACCGCACTGCGAGAGACTGACGTTGTCGATCGGCGATTTAGTCGTCAAAGTAGACGAGAAGGTTGTTGTGCTCGACGACACCCAAGTCGGTTTCTTTGTCGGCCACGTGGTAGCGATACCGGGTTTCTTCGAGCTCGTGGTGATCGGTCTCGAGGTGGTCGTGAGGATCGATGAACCAGGCGAGGGTGGATGGGTCGGGAGCGGCGGTATCGTGTGATCGGGTGGGTGTGTAGGAATCGGCGGTGGCCAAGTCGGACGTGATGTTCCTTTATCGCCGTCTTTTTTTTTATTATCTTCGATCTAAAACGTTTTTGCGAAGAAAAACACCATTTGTAGAGAGACAGAATGAAAGAAACGACCGCGTCCATTGCGCTGCCGGATAGAAGGCAAGAATGTACTGCGCGAATATACTGAGCAATAAAACGGACAGTAAAAGATCTTTTGCGAAATCATATTGCTGAATAAACGCGGCAAAGGAGGAGAGAAAGACTACTAACTTTCTAGCGGGCTGGATCTATCTAACGAACTTTAATTCGGATCACGTGTAATTTACGAGTTTCCGCTAGCGAAAGTGATTACCGCGAACGGAGGTAGAAACGCGTGGAATCGGAACTCGTGTTGAAATTGGGTCGGGTCCCGTGAGCCTAACAATCTGCGTCTTACCTCGGGCGGATCTTCGACGGTCGGATCGTCGCAGTCGGGATGAGGTTGCGGTGTGACGAACGGATTCAAATTCGAGCAGCAGATTCCGAAACTCGGGGTTCCGTCCTCGCGAATGTAGCTGCACGTGTCGTAAACGCCGAGGACCCAGCCGTCGAGCGCGCCCAAATCCGGAATCTTGAAGTACGGATAGCACTCCTTGAAGGTCATGCAGCGACCGACTTCGCCTTTCGAAGTTAAGCAGGTCTCGCGAGTCGTGGCTCCGTTCCAAAGAATACCTCGACTGTCTCGCGATCCGAACGGATCGATCGCGGCTGAAAATTCCAATTTTTTAATGGAACTTATTTCTTACAAAATTTATCTTTGATTTGTCGCATAAGAATTGTCTGTCTCGAGTTTTTCTTCACCGACCGATTTGCGCGCGTGTTCACCGTCGCGGAGAGAATTAGGACGCGTTGAGAATTAGGACGCACATGTTTATATCTCAGCACGTACGTACTCGAGAATGCGCTTGCGTCTTTTTAGCATATGCATTTGACCTGCTTTATTGAATTGTTGAATAAATAAATATAAAACATTTTAGAGCAGTCATGAGTTTCTCGATTTTTTTTTTTTTTTAACGGGATGCTCTTGTTCAAGTGAAAACTCGCGCAAACGACGATATTGCGTCGATTTTATATGCGCGGCGTGAAAATAATTTTAGTGCGTCGAACAATTGAAACATCATAATGGAATTTCATCGGGAGATACTTAGCGGCGGGTTCGCTGACCGACGTGAGACACACAGATGCACTCACACACCGAAGGTGAGATTTGCGCGCGCAGGGAGAACTTCCGGTCGCCGTGTATGGGACGCGCGAATAATCACTCGTCAATCGCGCGGTACTCGATATGTATTGCATCTGTTAGTGGACTTCACGGCCGCCGACAAGGAAACCTGGATGGATCGGCGATACCAAGAAGAAGAGAAGGAGTCATTGACCAGTGAAGCACGTACGCGCGCGTTGTTGTTTTTTTTTTTTTTGTAACCAATAATCGCAAGATGATCAATGATGTAACGCACTAGAGGAACAAGTTGTAGTCGAGACGGTCATTACGCGGAAAATAAACTCGACTATAAAAATTGACCTCTCGAGTTAACGGCGATGAAGCAATCTAAAAGCATCTTTGTAGTAACATTTTTTACCGCATTTTTTATTAAAACTACCAGGTGAATGAAACGACACACTCGAGACTATGAAGAATATGAGGAGTAAAAATTCTCTTGAAGAACACATGAATATGAATGAGAACTCTCTCTCTCTCTTTCTCGGCGCGAAGATACGTGAGTTTCAACGAAAGTTTCGCGTATACGAAGAGATACAAAAGCGAGTGTCTGCGCGAAAGCCGAAAGTTTATTGCGCGAGGAACGCATACGAAATTATCGTCTGACGTATACTGATACTGACCTTCGACGACAACTACGTCGTCAGCTTCACTCGGATGAGCGTCATCGATCGGACGATCGAAATCCAGCGATCTTGGCTCAGCTGTCACCGCGGGCGCGATTGTGATCGTCTGAACCACAAGCGGCACCAGCATCAGCATCGCGAACAACGTCAGTGCCCGAATATTGCTCATCATTCTCTTCCCAAGTTGCCAGGACGGTCGTTTTGCGAAATATTCGATCGAATGCGAATACTCGAAACACCGAAGTGGAAAAAAAAAATAAATAAATAAACCGATCGACGACGACAACGCGCGGGACACCCACGTGCGCGACCACTCGCGGGGTTCCTGGTGACTCGACTAGGCCGCCTAAGCCTCTGAATAGCCGCTGCTCGAGCTTATAACGGGCTCGCCCTACCCTTTGGGTGCCTAGCGTTTTACTCTCTGCCCCCGGAGCGAGACACCTCAGCGCGACGCACGAGGTGTACGCTCCACGCGCACCTCTTTTCTTCTCCTTGCTCTTTTATCGTCGCTCGACCGTAAGATGGAGGACAGGAAGGGCGCAGTAGGGATCAGACGCGGTCGCGTGAAATGATCGTTTTTTATTTATTTATGATCTGACACTAAGGAGAAACTTTGTTCGCGCCAATAGCTTCTGCATCTGTCTCGTCCTTGCGAAGATATTACAGATACTTGTCAAGATCAATCGCGATTTTATTTTTGTTTTTCGAGAACGCGCTGGAAAAGTTGTTCGTTTTTATACTTCGATTTGATTTCGCGCGGTGCCACTCGTACAACGCGCAGACGATAACATCCACACTCGTGAATGGAACTTAGTTATCTCTTGATTATGTAAGCCGTATGAGATGGAACCGGATCACGGTCCTCGATCGCACTCGCGTACACAACTTGCGCGCTCGCGATATTTATATAGAGAGGTATATTTGCATAGAGAACACGAACTCTTCGCGTCTGGCCTTGAAGATGCCGAGAAAAGGCTTGCACGTAAGGGACGACCGTGAACTTGCTTGAATTCCCGGCTTCTCGTCTATCCCGGGCGCTAACACGTGTTTATGCATTTCCTTCCGCCGACGGTGAATATACAAGATTGTTCCCTCTCCCGCGTTTTTCGCGATCTTTCCTTTCCGCTCCGACACAATTCTCTCTTATTTACTCCCGTATTTATTGTTTTATTTTATTTGCGCGTCACAAATATGCGATGTACATTCTAACGTAATTTTAATATAAAAAGAAATAATTTATTCACATCTCGTAGAAACGTTTGTCGAGCAAAAAATTATATTTATTTTTATAAAAAATGTGTCTGAAACTTTCTTTTGTGACAAATCGACGTTTTTTCATCGTGGAGTATCTAATGACACACAATAAGACCGTTATCTTTTGGAACAGAGCCTGAGGAAGTCATTAGCAATATTTTTTTTATGCATGCGTCGTCGCGATGATGATGATTTCTTTAATAAACGGAAACATTTATTACGTTCCGGTATGTAATATCGGTTTCTTAAGTATAATTTATACGAGATAGTATGATGAAAGAGAGTGTCGATTTTTGTTTTACATATATATATTACCGCTTTGATAGAAGCGAAAAAATATATTTTGCTCGACGAACGTTCAAACATCGACGACACAAATATTTCGGTATCGAAATATTTTTAGTAGATTAATGATGCGCAAAAACAAAAAAAAAACTAACAAGGACGATGATATTTGTTACGCTTGTATCTCTCTTATGTAATTTGGAGCAAAAACAAAAACACAAAGTATTTTAACGCGCTTAGATATCGCGTACAGGCGGCAGGGTTCCTGTGCACTGGGACGAGATCCGTAATCTCTCTCTCATGAAGGTACATAAACAGTACCTTCCGCGGGAGAACGAAGAGCGTGAGGACCTTGAAGTGTACGTCAGGATCGCGATACTCGGGTCGACGAACCGTCGTCCTAAAGGGAAAAGAAAAGAGATTTTAAGTTCGCGCGTTCTTTGAACCGCCGCGACGGTTATAATAACCGACGCTTACTCGAAGTCGACATCTCGAAGAGATAAAAAACTTTTTTTGTTGTCCCGCGCTCGCAACAGAGGATTCGGTTAATCGAATCGATATACAAGACAAGCGGTTTATAGTCATCTACTTAACTTGCCAAACCGGACTCCGCCGAAAATACCACCAGCAAATGGCTTGACATGGATTTTTTTAATATCAAAATAAATAATAAACTCGACATTGCGGTATCCTACACCGCAAGACTTTATATTAAAATATACTGGCAACAAGTTAATTGTCATTTGTTTCGTTCAGTTATTGTACACGAACAACGCAGAAGTTGAGAATTTTCAATGATTATAGGAATTATCATTTTATTTATTATGAAAACGTCCGGTCGACACTTAACACGTACATAAAATTTGGTTCAAAAATTCGCACGTCTCGATAAAATTGCACGTCGCGAGCAATTCGCTCGTCGGATTCGCTAAACCGGTTCGGACGGTGTTGATCCTTTAATTTATTAAGCGATGTCAAAGTCGTTTGTTGCAGCTTTAACGACGTGTCATTTGATACAAAGAATCGAAGGAACGAAGGAGAAGATTACACGCTACGTGATGAAGAAAGATTAAGAGAACAATCTTCGATTTGTCACAAATATGGGGCTTGAAGTGTGACGCGATTTAGGTTTTACTCTTTACAAGAAACATCTCGTACAAAAATAATATCAACTATTTAGACAATTTTGTAAACAGGTAAACGCACAAAGTGGATTTGTGGATTCGGTTGTAGTTGACACAATTACGGACGGAAATTTTATTTCCTCTTCTACTGCCGCTGCTAATCCTCATTGCTTAGAGTGTAATGGAATAATAATAAAAACACGCTCGCTTTTATAACGCCGTAAAAGCCTTGCTCGCATGATCGTTTACGAAACAACAGAATCGCGTTAACTTCATAATGAATTCTTTCGCTCAAAACGAACGTTGGTTGGCAAACTTAGAACGCAGTAATAACATTTGCAAATTCGTAGTAGTTTGATGAAAAAAAAAAAAAAATTCGTCGACATCGTATCTCGAGGTATTAGCCCGCGGCGTGCTATTTTAGTGTTTTGCATTAGCTCCGAAGATATAAATTTTTTTTTTTTTTTGGCGTATTATAATATGATTTGTATCTATCCTCGAATGGTTTTTGCGTGTTCTTTCGTCGACCGAACTGACGGCATCGAATTGACAAGAAGAACCTCTTAAGAAGCAAATCTCAACAGACGTATCCGTTTCTCACGTATCACACATTTGTGAGAAATATTTTGCCGATTAAAAGATTTTATCTGTCATAATTTTCAAGAGGTATAAATCTTCTGAAAAAAAAATACACTGTCTCGGAAATGAGATATTAATTTTATCGCGAAAAATTAGAAATTTAAATTTCGTCCCATTTTAGAAAAATTATATCTCGCAAAAGAGAAATATATAAATTCACGACCGGATATCGAGATTTTGCGACGTGGCGTCCTAACGCATCGTGCGAAAAAGCCTCTACGTGGCTTAGACGATGCCATTGTGTGACCAATTGTATCGCGTATTCGACGTATACTTATTTGTTTAATATTTAGACTATAAGAGTATATATTTTATACGTCTAGTTGATTAATAGCAATATTTTCGTCACGCGAACAAAGACAGAGAAAGCGCATAAACCACGTTCGAGGAACTATATTATAATTCACGTCAGGGCCAGTGTCCTTCTACAAGGTCCTCGATTCTCACACGATTGTTTAGTGTTGGTATACGCACTAGAGCCGACTTCTAGCTAACGATGATAACCGTCTGACTAGATCGCGCTGTAATCACTTAAATCCTTCGTTTCTCCCTTGTTGCGTCCGAGAAAATGCGCGAGCCACATCCCGTAATTAAGGCGCCAATTAATTCTCCCCTCCGGTTCTCACACTAATCGGGTTTCCGTATCAGGAAAGTGTCGGCATGTTCTTATACTTCAGCGAGCACTTTGATACTTTAAAAGTGCTCCGATACTAATTAAAATTATCAATTTTTCCGCGCAACGATAAATTTAAGATAATGAACAAGAATTAAAAAAAAAACTTTATATTATCAGAAATGGTCTAATGAATTTACTTATCAAATTAGCGTCAATTCTCTTTTTTTACTTATCGCTGTTCGTCGCAACCGTAACGGGGAAGCTCAAACGATCGATGGGGGATTAAACGTAATCCTCTCCTGTCATCGATCGAACACACGTCGTTCATATCGCGTTCCGTTATAAATCCGATCTGAGCGTGAGATAACAACGCGCGCTTATTCCGCGAGCTAATCATACTGGATGTGTCGTGTCAGACTTCTTCGGATAAGCGATTCCATCATCATGAAGTGTCTGTGAACCGGGGAGACACGGCTTGTTAAGGTACGTCAGCCGTGAACGCGCGTTGATCTTTCTGCAAGCACGGTCGGGACGTCCTTCTCCGGCATCGCTCATTTTACGATACACTCCCTTCGTTCTCTTGCTCTAAGGCGCGGAATCTTCTTTATCTTTCCTTATAAGTTTCCATGCTCGGGATTCTCTTTTTTTTTCTTTCGAATTCCTCGCCAACAACAGGTTTCCTTCGCGGGCGTTCCTTCGCGATCTTCCCTGCGCCGCGCGAGAAGCGAAACAAAGCGAGTGTGTACACATGAACTTCTTCGCAAGGTGGAAATTACGGTAGAAACAAAAACGAGTGGTCGGGAGGACATCTCTGTATAATTAAATGAAAACAACAACATCTAATTTTTATGACGTGATTTAATCTCGCGTTATGTGTCGCAAAGTTGTTTCGTGTAGGTGGAATGAGAACACCTGTCGAATTATGCTAATGAGGGCTCCGGGTAAACGAACTGTATATTTCATCAAATCGTAAGTGAATAAAGAGATGATTGGATGATATCGCGATTGTAAAAGGGATTGTAAGTCGTCACCGATGCGTGACGACGAAAGGTAACAACAGCAGTAACAACATTACAAAGGCGTGTAATTTATAAAACGTACTAATATAATATTTATTGTTGCAATAAACATCATATATATATATATAATATATATATATATATAATAATATAATATCACCTCTGGCACAATCTCACGATGGCAAGACAACGCGACGAAAGAAAATAACTTGGCATTCCCGCGTCTTATCTTCTCTTTTTTTTTTTTTTTTTTTTGTATAAACTTTCGCTTTTCTGATACATCAATAGTATATTGTCAGTTTCTTAATTCGACCGGCTCTTCTCTTTATGCATTCTTCGTATTTCTAACATTAAATCTAAAGCTTCCCCGTGGGAGGCTCTTTCATTTCACGCTCGCTCGTTTCACATTTACATCGTTTGCAAGTTGTATAATATCGGTACGCGCGATTTCTCGAATCGTCGCACACGCAAATCTACATCATGATCCGGAATGTAAAAAGGCGGAAGCGCGCGGCAAGAGATACGGCGCGACTTTCGGTTCTTCTCGCGACGACGACTCTGACTCCGTCCGTTTTTCTCTTTCTCTCTCTTTCTCACTCTCTCTCTCTCTTTCTCTCTTTCTCTCTCTCTCTCTCTCTCTCTCTCTCTCTCTCTCNTCTCTCTCTCTCTCTCTCTCTCTCTCTCTCTCTCTCGCGTATCATAAACAATAACATTAATTAATCATAAGGATAATAAAGTACACTATTATAATAAAAATGGGCTCGAGATAACACGCACAGCCGTTTTGTCCACGCAACGAGTCGTGTCCTTTGCCTCATTTCGAGATCCAACGGCAGCGTTTAGAGAGAGGAAGTAACGCAAAAAAAGGGGGAAGGGGATGTGATTACGCAGAAAAAAAAATGTCATGGACCAAAGCTAATCAACGAACTCGGTCTCTTGTTGTAGACCTCTATTTCTCTTTACGATCCCTTACGTACGCACACGACATTCACACGCGCTTTCTCGTCTCTTTCTCGCTCATTGATCCCGTTCTTCCGATACATATTCGCATTCTCACTCCGTACAGGCATTTTTTTCGTGTATAAAAATAATAATATAACGTACATATAATAATATTAAAAATAATATACATATATATGTCTTATAATATAAAGTTCTTTTTCTATAATTCAATATATATATATATATATATAAAATTCATATAATATTAATAATTGTCAACCTATATATCATTTTATTTATAAATCTAAAACGAGTGGCAATATATATGTAACAAAATAACTAAACACTAAAGTGCGATTACATTTTACAAGCGTATTTTGATCAAATGCTTTGATATCGGTATGTGTTATATATAACGACGTAAGATTAACATGTATATATATAAAACAAAGAGAAATGTCGTAATATATTTTTCTAATACAACACTCTAATACAACTTGTAACAAATATGTAATGTAATCACGTCATTTTAAAAAACTTTGCTCTCATATTGTCAATAATATAATCTCCGTGGAGAGTTTTTAAAAGTTTTCTCTCACCACACACACAGTTGTTTGTACGTATATTTTCATGTATGTATATTGGCACTTGCACAGTGGACACAGCAACATAAGAGAGAGAGGTGCGATTGAAATTGATTCAAGTCAGAACACACGAAAAGTGGAAATGAGATGTGTTTGAACAATAGCGAAAGTTGTGTTGCTGCGCCTAGTATACAGTAGAAAAAATGTATCGGGCTTATTTTTTAACTCGATTGCATGATTGTTTTTTTCTCACATTCATCTCGGAGGGAAATGAATTACATTCGTTGTTTCTAGAATTTTTTCTACTGAGAATTAATGTAAGGATAATCGTAGAGATGTATATGCGTACAGAGGTGTTACAATGCCTTTACACATGAAGAATTGCACGTTTTATTGTTAAGATATCATTGAGACGTTATTGGTGCAATTTCACGTGTAAAGTCATAAACGTTTCCAAACGTGTTGCATGATTTGTGCAAGTAATTAATGGCTTTGCAACTTTAGAAATGATTAGTATTTATTGATGGGTATCACATTTGGTATGGCTCAACATCTTGACAATACACGCACCGTGGTGTGCCATTTTGATACATGTCATTAGAAAAATCAAATATAAAAAACCTCTTCAATTCGGGAATTGATCGTCATGTTTGTAAAACTTTGGAAAACTTGAGATTCTTTTTTATATCTAAAAAAATCAGAGAAAATTGTCGAATAATTTTTCACTTTTTTTTTCTAAATCCTAGCATTTGAACACTCGAGTAGTTTATAAATTCACATATTCCAACTTTTCACATATGGGAAGTGCGTTTAGATGCAATTTGTTGATACTACTATTTATTGAGAACACGTGTCTGCTTTTTTTTAGCGTCACAACAAAGATATAAATGGTTTTTATTTTATATTGCCAGGATTGTTGCGCGGTCTAAACGCACTTTGAAGAGCACACAAACAGAAGCAACTGTATCTCAAAAATTAACTTACTTTTGCTAGTAATCAATTTACTTTTACTAATGATTTATAATCTACTCATTTTGGCTGGAAATTTGAACAAAACTACATGAGCGTCAGAGAATGTTTGTTTTCCAAATATGTGGCACCTTAATGTTACTTTATCTTACACACTATATAATTATGTCCATTATAATCATATATTATAGCTAGAGTGTCATTGTCAATAATGCGAGTTCATATTTAGATTTTACAGTAACAATATGTCTTGAAAATAAAAGTTTTAATATGATTTAACACATATTATATGCCTTCTAAAAATGTAAAAATAACTGTGTAATATATAACACAGTGTGCTCGCGCACTTCGTTGCGCGTGAACTTGACGCGAGACACTACCGTGCCTCTTGATTATGATTACATTATATTAGAAAGACAGATTAAATTACAAATAAAATTATATAAGATTATTATCTTAGTAGTAGTCATGTTTCAGTACTCTCTGTTGCAAATTTACGGTATTACGAATGAATTATATATAAAAAGAACTGCTTTTTATGTGAAAAAAACTTACGTCAATGTAACTCAAAATATTAATGCAATGTGACAACTATATATTGTAAAATATATTTAAACTATGTATATACATATGTATTAAAATATATTTCACTTTTCAGGATTAATATTTAACCATGAATTTTTAAATAAGAAACAATTTTTAAATAAAAATTTTCAAAAAATAAAATATTTAGTTACATTTGCATTAAATTCACTATTTCATCAAATTCAATTAAAGTGATAAAGACATGACTTATTATTAGGATAGTAATCTTAAATAAATTTAATTTGTAGTTGATTTGAAATATCTTTTATTAACAAACGACCAATCGAAAACTGAGTAATCTGAAATCGATCGATATCCAAAAGTAAGATACCTGAGAATTTAAAACAAATTTTAAATACACACATTGACGAAATGATGAGTTGAAGTATAATGCAAAATAACTGAAGTTAGAACAATATGAAACACACATATCAACAAGCGAGTAGTCAGTAAGTGAGTGGTCGGGTTATTTAAAAATGACAAAGAGATGTCATCTGTTCATGAACAAGATACGCGCGTTGCGTAAATATTGTCTATCATTGACTAACGCATCACTGGGAATATCATTTCGAAGGTTTACGGCACCAATGCGACGTAATTTTAAAACAGTTCGGGCAAATTAAAAGCTTACACGTATATGTTGGCTACTATGAATTAATGATAGTATGATCGTATAAGTGCTATCTACATGTACATCATACAAATATTTAATACAGTAGCCCTTTTAAACTCGGAAGAGTTTTTCCACACTCTTCGACTCGTGTCTTATTAATATAATATATAATATAATTATCTTGTAATTGTTTTCGAGATAATTAATATTTCGGTCTTAATCTCCGAGTATAAGAAGAGTTACTGTATACATACCGAGATTCTTAAATCACTTTTGATTTTTTTACATACATTTGGCGCGCATATAAATTATTTGTAAAGGGGAAAAACAAGTTAATACGCGGTAATAATTCACTTTTCGTGTCTACAATGTCAGCGCATTTGGCTATACACGAAATTTGACAAAATTTCATCAATCTGTGGCTCGCGATTCAAACATTACTAATATTTGAAAAGAAATTTTAGTAATATTCATTCGCAAAGAGTGTAAAAAAAAAAAATGTACTATTCTGCTCAACTTCCGCTAAACCTTCATTACGTATTTTCTTGCACAATTGATTTATTTGTTATATCAGTCGAGTCAAAGCCCAGACAGCGTGAGCGAAAGACTTTTTATAGTCACATTACATTAGGCGTTAGAAAAAGTTCCTCGGATTTTTCTTCGGTTTTTCTCTTAAAACAATAATCTTAAAAATAATCTTAAAAATAATCTTAAAAATAATCATTATACATTTTTTAAATAGTCTATCTTTTAAATATTACATTTTTTTCATAAAGATATCTATCAATTGATATGAGTTGTCACTGTATGTATCTATCAATTGATAGTATGTTAAGTATCTGATAAATATCTAGAAAATTGTTTTCAAGATGACTATACAATTCATATCTGTCGTATTGTATTCTCTGTGAATTCCAATAAGTAAAAAAAATTCATTAAAAGCTCGCAAATGATTGCTCAATTAACTTTTTTTTTAAATGTAATGTATTGAAAAATTATGCGGAAATTAGCTTCGACAAAAAAGAAATACAAAAAAAACAAAACTTAACGTAGCGACGTTCGCGATCGATGATAAGCTTTTTTTTTAAATAATGCGCAAAAATTTACTACTAACATTATTGCTTATAAATCAACTATAGATTCTTGCAAACCATCTTGTTTCGCGATGAATAAAAAAACTATCTTTGTCTATCCAATTGATAGTGTGCAAAAAATGTATAAAGTTATCGAACGCAAGGACATTTTGTTTTATTAACTCGTGAACGCGCAAATTTATTACCTATTAAAAACAATTTTGTACCTGAAAAATCCGAAAAACCTTCTCTCGATACAAAAAAATACAAACATTAACGAGAAATGCTAACAATCTAACAAAAAAACACATCCGTATAATCCGTCACGTTTTTTTTTGTCTTAACATTAAACAATGTATTACAATGCATTACATACACCTATGAATTTTATTCGACTACGTGAATTATGAGTGAGTTTTTTACTTTACCGGAAAAAAAGTAACGTTTACAGTAATCGTTTTTTTCAAGTTTATTCGAAATGTAGTTTCTACTTAAATCTACTGTTAACTAAGTTTCTTGTTTTGTTGTCTGTTAATTTTGCTACCTCCTCGCTGAGAGTCGCTTCGGATGTTTCGGTCGATACGTCCGATTTCGGATTTTTCTTCCTATCGCGATCGATTTCACGTGTTGCCGTTGTCGTGGACATGTGCGTGATGCGACGAATTGGCAACGGGCGAGTGCGCCGTTTGTCGCAAGCGGGATGTGGGTAGCTGGATGAGGGTAACGTCGTACAGGGCCGTGGGAGAATCGCCGGAATCGCCATGATCACCCGGCGAGCCCGGATTACGATCGTTGCCGGGATCAGGATTGATCCGCGAGTGAGTCACTTCCAGCAGAAACTCGTCCTCATCGATGTAATATCGTATCATTTCGTCGTCAATTTTCGCTGTAATTCTGCAACAAGACAGAACGACGTTTTTTTTCGTTAAATCATCTCGGCGTGACTCGCGTCGTTTTACACAGAAAACATTATTCAGTTCGAATTAACATGCAATTCAAGTTTAATCGCTATAATATCGTGAGACTTGACGATTTCTGAATCAGACAATCCCGTCAGAGTGACGGTTGCATACGCGCTGGTAATTTTCAAAATGTTTTGAAATCTCAAACTCTGTTTCCTTTTGATATTTCAATTTTTTTTTCAAAACTGTTATTATAAAAAACTGTTATTATAGAAATATTTATGACAGTAATCGAAACAAGTAGAGAGCATCGTGCATTGTTAACGACGTCGTTACAATGCCGTGAACATCGTCAAGTGCATATTATTGCGAATCTTTTCAAGATCGGATCAAAGTGAAAAAAGTGCATCGTAAAAGGTTCCATACCGCACTGCGCGCAGCTTGAGAAAGAAAGGAAAAGAACCACAGAGAGAGAATATTCATTTCCACGAGACGTGAGATAACGTCGAACAAACGAAGAACCATCATTCGAGAGAGGAATCGACCGGCGTGTACGTTGAGAAAATAAATACGGGCGAAATACGAAAAAAAAAATAAATAAATAAATAAAAAATAATCAGCCGAACGAGACGTGTGACGACATTAGAAGGCGAGATGAGGCTCAAGCGTGCTTGAGTGCTCGTGACACGAAGCCAGAAGATGAGAGGCGAAAGGATTAGTGGATTAATCAGGAGAGATTGTGCGTAGCGGCGAGATACGGTCAGCGTGCGGCATCCGCGTGCGTTAAGATGATCGACGAAGAGAGCAGAGAATTTTTATAAACAGGAGTGCGCGGAAGAAAATGTGATGCATACAATCGAACGTATTGCAGAGAGAAACACGCATCCGATACATGCAAGAGACACGATCATGAGAAAGAAGAGAGAAAGAGACAGAGACAGAGAGAGAGAGAAAGAGAAAAGAGAAAGAGAGAGAGAGAGAGAGAAACTACCAAACCAGGCGGAGAGAGTCAGGCAATGTCACCGTTAAGGCATGCATCCGCGTGGGCGTGCATGCAAGTAAAGATGACACTCTACTAAACTTACCCCTTTGTGTTTTTGCGATAGAGGTTATTAATACTCGAGGATGCAATTTTGTACTTTGACTCAATCTGCAAAATAGAAAAAAAGTAGAACATTAGAATTTTGATAGTGGCTTGTGCGGACCGTCGTCGTTTCGTTTTCGCGCTCGCATACTAGAGAAAATATCTTTGCGAGACGTGCGTAGGCAGACGCAGCGATGTCACTGCGATGAGAGAGTAACAGTAATAGAAAAACAGAGAAAAAGAGAAAGAGAGAGAGATAGAGAGAGAGAAAACGGAAGAAACAGAAAAATAGATAAAAAAATGAGATAAAAAGGAGATGAACATAGACACACAGATCGAGAAATGCAGAGATGGAACAGAAGAAAAACGGAATAAAACCACATTGCGCGTCGAAAAAGAAACGCGATACAGAATTACGCGCGTAAGAGACAAAAAAAAAAAATACTTTCCACTTTTTTCTTTCGCGCCGATTTTTTTACTTTCGGTGCAACGAGAAACAAAAACAAACCGTGTTCAAAGTTGTTAAGAGCAACCGCGACAGGTCTCGCACGTATATTTGCGAAGAGAGGAATATAATAATGTGAGATCGTATATGTCTCTCTTGCACTTTCCATATCATATTAATGGAGGATCTTGGACAGTGATGCATGCGCATTAATATTAATTAGCAAGTGGACCAGTGCGAACGGTGTATTAATAATGGCGCAGTTCACATGCATGGGTAATGTGTATACTCTCTCTCTCTCTCTCTCTCACACACACACACACACACAACACGTATAGACAAATACATACGTTTGTGTACCATAATATATCCAGCGTGTAATTTCCGCGCGCGTCGAGGCGAACGCGACTGAATGAACGAAACTAAACTGGTATCGGATTGAAACAGACATCGAGCGGCCACCTTTTCCGGCGTGCGACTTTATTAAGTTCTCTGGAAGCGTTCACACCGGCCGCAGGAAGTTTTACACGTATACGCTCGATCGATACGCCCGAGCGATAGCGTCGTTGTTATTATTGCCGCGTGTTTCTGTCCCGAGATCAAGACACGACGCCGGCAAACGACGACCACGTAATCACGGATTAACCCATTAACGCCCACGGTAACGCATATTCGACGCTGGGCGGTGTTTTGCATAAAGTGTTACTTGCTACCGAGCTGTTACCGGTATCGGGTATGGAAATGGTGAGAACTTCCACGTTTCCCGTTACCATTTCCACGAGAGAGAGTCTCGCGGGTCTTGTTAGAGAGAATATTATTTTATCTACTTTATACCAACCGGGAACGGACAAATATTAACATTTAAGTTAGCACAAAGCTTCTTGAAAACAGATTTCCTCTCGATTGCGTGTCAATTTGCGATACTTGTCTAGTCTTTGAAGTTTATGTCGCGTCGTAAAGATCAATAATTTCGTGTTGATATTAAAGACGTTAATAGACTCGTAAGACAACCCGCTTATCAACTACATAAACTCTATTAGACATCTTCTCAGAAATATTCTCAAGAGAGCAATGCAGATGCAAGCGGATCGTGTAAACTGTTAGGCTTCGCCTAGACACGTGTAATAGACTTCGCGTGTCGTATACTGTTTCAAAATAGTAGTCGCGTTCTGACAATAAACGGTGAGAAAGAGATCTAAATGGTCTATTAAATGTGTCTACAAGGCGAGGCATTCGTGAAGATTATGTGCGTGTTGGCGGTGTGTAAAGAAATATCCTTTAGAACGAATCTTACAGCGTTTAGAAGTCCCTGGACCGTTGGCGGGGCGACGTGCAAGGGTGTGTAGACGTCCTCGGACTCCTGGCGCACGAAGAGCAACACGCGCTCTTCCGACTGATGAGGAAGATGTAGCCGATTTCCGACGCTGGACACAACCGATCCTAAACCGGCCTGATGCACACCTTGCAACACCGAGCCTTGCAACTCCTGGACCTGCATCAGCAACGAGTCCTTCTTGTCGTGGAGACTACTGAGATTGTCGGGTGGAAAGTGGTTGTGGAACTTGAGGGCCGGCAGACTCGGCCGGCCGCATGCCGCCGGATATGGGCTTCCACCACCCGCCTTCAATCCTCCACCTTCCCCGTTACTGAGGGACGAGGTGTCGGTGTCACCCCCGCCCCCGCCGCCGCCGCCACCACCGTAGAAGCCCGACAACTCCATCGTCGAGAACTGTCGTGAGAGAACAGACATGATTTACTTCCATTCCGAATTTTGCGTTGGGAATAAAAAAACGCAAAGCGCAGTTTCATCGCGAAGCGGCCTTTGACGGCCTTGACGTGTCAACTCGAACGCAAAATTCGAAAAAGCCATTTTCGAAATAATTCACGTCGTTTGCTTTGCAAGAGTTGCGGTTAGTTGCACAGGTTTTGGCGGAGGTGAGAGCAGAGGATCGTGTGAATGTCGCGCAATTGTTTTTTGGGTCAAATTTCTCGTCGATTTAATTAGTATTAACGCATGCCAAGATGTAACTGTAACTCGTACTTATTCAAATGCCGACAAAAAAACAACTCGAGTACAACGAGCGTCACGTAAATGCAATTTCTCTTCTCCGGTATAATTTTCGTAATGATAATTTTTGTTTTTCATGCACTTGTTATTCGATTTTACTCCGTAATTGACTTTTGCTTGAATTATGCATGAAAAAAAAAAAAAAAAATGAATAATTTACCTTGTCGATGGCGTGCTCGGCCTGCGGTGAGAACAGCACCGGAGGTTTGTTCATGTCCGCCATGGAGTAGAACTCGCTGCGTTCTGTGACCGAATGGTAAAGTTCGTCAAGCTTTTTTCTGCCAGTCGCTGTCATCTTCCTCTTAGCCGCGCGCCTCTCCTCATCCCGAGTCTTTCTCTCTGCTCCCTGTGACGAGCAACATCGCTTTTCAACTCGATTTCAACGCGATTACTCGTGCGTATTATCGGCAATAATACACACGAAGAAAGAGAGAGAGAGAAAAAAAAACAGATAAATAACTGAAAAATGCACCTTATCGCAAAAAACCTTAATTTGACAGTAGCCGCGATGGGAGGGCGGCTGATACGAGTGCGTATTGGTCGGTTCTTCGTACGTGTCAATTTGAATATGTAGCGGTAAGCCCTTCACTCCTTTCTGACTTGAGAAATCAGTGCTGAGACACTGTACAGCTACGTTTATCTGCGCAGAAGTGAAGCAGATATCGCTTTATTAACATTCCCGCGCTAAATAGTCTACGGTATGTCACGTGCAATAGGTAGAAAAATAAGTGATGGATCAGAGTTTGTTTTTTTCGAGCTATTTTGCGTGTCACAATTGAACAAAACCAATGTTTTCTATAAAATTATTTATGCCTCTGTGTCAAAGGTATATATATATACTGAACTAAAATTATTTTTATCACATGCGTATTGTAAAAATTTCAAGTAAGGCAATATTCAAACAACTTTCTAGCTGTAGTCTCGTCTATTAGGTATATAACTTCAAGTTATTTCTTATTTACGCTTATGTTGCATTTAATAAGAATATAATAATTATAATTATTATTCTACATGTGTCTTTTAACAACACATCCGTGCAGTTTTATTATAATATTTAAAAACAAAAAAGTTTCCAAACGAACAGTTCTGCGTGCCTTTACTTGACGCACAATATGCATTGAAAGTTCCTTGATTTGTGTTTTAGATACACACTTTTAGTAGTTTTGTTATCGATCGCTTACCTTTGCCGCCGATTCGAGTGGGTTCCAGTAAACGGCAATTGCATTGTGTGCAACTTCCTCTATACAACCCACCAGACCGGCGCTATTCTTCGTGTCTGTAACAACGGACGTGACTCAAACTTTATTGATCATGTCGAGGAATATGAAGTAGCGAAATGCTACTCACTGTGGGTAAGACGCGCTTTAAGATAAAATATTGAAGCAACGGAGCGACTAAGCGCGATAAGATCTTACCTCCGGTCCGTTACAGATTAAGCGGCTTGTGAGCAAGAAAATAGAAAAAAAAAAAATCATTAAAGAGTTAATCGATCGCTAACACACTGTACAGAGAGTTCTTGTCGTCGTGCATTGTTAATAATAAAGAGAAAGCTATTATCGGTCATCGCTATCTGCGCAAGTAAATGTCCGCAATCGTTCTCTCTATATAATTCTCTTTGTACTTATCTCGCCTCGAGAGAAATAACGTTGAGAAAAAACCGTCTCTAAAGTCCACTACATATCTCACCTGCGTCGAGAATCCGTTGTTTGACCGAGTGCTGTCTGCCGTGCCAAAATTGCCAGGCCTTAATCTCGTCCTCGGGACTCTTTTCCTCGCGAAACATCAGCATCACCACGCTCTGTGCGCAAGTAACAATTATCCCATTAGGATTTGTTTTATTTTATCTTTATTTTTGATTGTGTTCTGACATATGTGTGTGTATGAAGTTGCACGAACAAATTCTTGCAAAGTTGACTTTCGGATTTTCGTTCACCCGGATCGGCGGCGGCGGCGGCGGCGGTGGTGGTATCGCCATCAATCCGAGTGTGCAGTGATACGCGGAGACGCACATCGGCCGCGACAGACGCACGCTCGAGCGGACATACGCGGGCGTGTGAGCGTTTCGCCGCGAGCGGCGAACGAAGCGAGCGAGCAAGCGAGCAAGCGAACGCCGCGAGACGGCGGAAGGAATTTTTCGTGATTCGGGTGAATGGACGAAGAGAGAGAGAACTGCGGTGGACCTGGCGTGGAGGAAATATGGGCGCGCGCGAAAGGAAGAGAAAGAGAGAGAAAACCCGTGAATAAGAGGCTCGCGTTACGCGGTTACACTTTATATTTACGCGGGGCGTGCGCGGCGCGCGCGATCTCCCTCAAGGCTCTCTCGCGCGCCGCGAATATACCGTTCAATTCGCTACACACACGCCCCGACGAAGCTCGATTAGCAATTAACGAGGAAGTCGTAACTCGTCGCGTCGCGGAAAAAGAGTAACCGCCACCTTTATCAGAATGGAAATTGCTAACGGTTGCGAGCGCGCGGTTGCCAATTAGAGTCGCGAGAACAAACGATCCCGTCTGACTCCTTCTTTCGACACGCCGCGATGCACTGCCGATCATCTCCGCGAATTTTGTCGCTCCGCTCACGCGAGCGCTAACGATCACATCGTCGCTCGCAAAGACTCGTGTAGGACACAGTCACGATATATTAATTAAATAAAGTGGATATTAAAACGCGCGATAACGAAAACGTATTTCGTTGTGAAAGGAGCGAAATAAAATATTTTATTTATTTAAACGTATAAATTAATACACGTAACAATTTGAATTGAATTCACTTCGAACGTTCATAACTCGTGCTGAATTTATTATACATCGAATTATAAACTTGAAGAGGCGTGCACGCATCTGTCTTTTGAAATGCATAAAATCTACCTGCGTCAAAGCATAGGGTAATTCTATTAGATAACGCTGTGCGAATAATAATAACACAGTAGTGGGCAATTATTCTTTTTGTTTTCACCTTGACTGTTTGTCCTGCCTTGAGGAGTGGCTTGTCGGGATCGGGGACATACTCCAACGTGATCGCGTAGAACTGCCCTTTGTTGATGTAAGTTATTCTGTCGTCCTCGCGTCTCTGCGACGTGCTGATCGGCGACTCCAAATGGTACTTGAATCCAAAGGCCGAAAAGCTAGAAAGATCGGAATGGGAGATTTCCTTCGTAAATAAGAGGCGTGAAATACACATGACGTTTTAGCACGCGTCAGTGCGTAAAAACGTTGCATATTTAAGAGACCACCTTCCTCCGCTCATTATGCAGCTGGCCGTTTCGCACTCGCCGAGAGATCAAATCGCGTTTAACTTAATAGGCGGTTACGAGCTCGCAAACAAATGCTCAAGAAAACTGATTAACGCGCGATTATCGCGTAATTATCTTTCTCTCTCTCTCTCTTTCTCTCTGTGTATTCGCACAAGAAAGAGCGAGAAAGATCGCGAATCCCGCGTTGCTGTTACCTCTCGCGTTTACTGTGACGTTGAGTGAAAAACTCAACGGAACGACAAAAAATGTTTATTAATTAAAACGTTGCGTTATCGCGAAAATAAACAAGCGCGATCGAGTATAAATATATCCGATCGTTAATCGAACGATAATGAAGGGCTCGCGAGCAGGCCTGGGAAAGCTGGAAACCGCGCGAATGCGACGCGACGCTCAGAAAAAGGAAGTCGTCGACGAACGTGTATATCGGGACTCGTATCAACCTCGCCCAGGGAAAATCGCGCTTCTAATCGAGCTTATCTCCGCCTCGGCTACGCCGAGGCAGGTAGGCGGACGGCGGGCAGTCGATATCCTATGAAAAATGAACGCCCATAATCCGGGAGAGAGAGACCGCGAGATATATAAGACACGGGAGGACAAAACGACGCGCACGGTGGAGGCGAATGGAGAAGGAAAAACGAGAGCAAAACGATCGTAGGCCGCGCGCGATCGAGGAAAATCGCTAATCGCTACGGCGCCGTTCCTCGGTTCCCGATCTTCGAGAAGCCGAAGCTACTGTCGTCGGCGGAAAGCTCGCCGATTATTTTTATCTGCGCGCAAAAGCGCGATGAGGCGATTTTCTTTTTGTTTTTATCACGCCGTTTCTCTTCCTTCTTTTTTTTTTTTTGTTTTTGTTTTTTTCTTCGATCGCAAGCGAGAGAGGGCGACGGGGGCGGTGTGCGTAGCGAGCGAGGCGATAACTGACCGTGGCGGGTGAACGTCCTCTTGCTCGCTCCTTCTAGTGCCCGCTCCCGTTGCCGCCTACCCGATATACAACCCGGGTATATACTTTGTTACAACTCTCTGTGTGGGTTACGCGAGATTACCATGTCCCGAGAGAAAGAGAAAGAGAGAAAAAAAAGAGAAAGAGACTCGATTTATCTGTTTGCGTCTGTCTTTCTCTCTGGTTTCGCTTCCGTTCGCGAAAACGAAAACGGATCCGAGTCGGAAAGAGAGGGAGAGGCTACTTCTCTCTTGACATTTCGATTTCACGCTACGAGTCATCGGCAGACGTGCGATTTTTCAGTCCGGACCGACCCCCGGGCATCTTGTCCGTTCTCTCTCTCTCTCTCTCTCTTTCTTTCTTCGCGAGAGAGATCCCAAACGAAGCTCGGCTGCAACTTAATAACTTTAACATCGTTGTTCATTCCGCGCCGGTGGGTTCGGAAGAAGCAGAGAGAGAGAGAGAGAGAGAAAGGGATTTTCAGCGCCGCTGGTCGATCTAACAATGGGAGCAGCAAAATTACGAGAGGCGGATGGAGCGAAACGGGAAATACGAAAGATCGCTGGGCAGGAGATACGCGCGAGATGAAAGAGCGAGTCGGCAAGGCGGATGCGAGAAGTACCGTGAAGGAAATGAAGAGTACGTGAAGGATCGAGAGGCATAGAGGAAGTTCTTGTGGCGGAAGACTGGTTGAGTATATTTACCTTCTTGTGAAATAGAGAAATAACACCGTCGTGATAACATCTCAGTATTTATTCTCTAAAGATTCGAGTATAATTTATCAAGAGTGTTTTAGTTTCGAAAAAAAAAAGAATTTCAATTGCCCGTCGTGTTTATTTTTTGTTTTACACAATTTACTTACATCTTCGGAATTTGAATCTTATCGGCGTCGTTCTGTCTACCGAAGTCGTGCCAGGGCCGCGACCTCGGTGGCGTCGGATTTGGATTCGGATTTGTCGCACCCGCAGACACAAGACCGCTACGTTGCACCTGTGCCTGTGCGGTATGACTCTGTTGCAGTTGCAGTTGCAAAGGTTGGTGATGTATCACGGCACCGGGCTCGAGAACCACCGCCGTTCCGGCTGTCGCGCCGCCAGGACACAACTCTGTATAGTCGAACGAGGACTGGAAAAAGAAATTTAGTCAAACGCGGTGAGAACAACGCAAATCACATTGCTCGATATATTCGTTAATTATCAATATAAAAATTGCAATCGCGTGCTAATCGTCAAAGAGAATCAACACAAACAATGAGAGAATCACATTACGACTATAGCTTTGAGATTTATCTCAATTTTGAACTTTTTCCAGAAGCTTCATTAATTAATCACTAAATTCTTCTAACAATCTCTAACTGTAAGTAGATAGATTGATAGATAATCTTTATTGATTCCCCTTAAGGTTACAATTTTATAATCAACAACTTACACTAGCTTACATCTATATATATATAGTTGTAAGGTATATATATATATATATATACCTTACAACTATCTTATACTACGCCTCTTACAACTAACCTATCTTATCCTATTTTACACACACACACACACACGCTATCCCTACTCTCAGGGACCTCCGTTTCCGTCGCTCTTTCCATCCATTCCCATATTCTCCATATCATTCCTCTCCCTCTTCCACTCTCTCATTCATTCTTCTTCTCATTTTTCCTTCCGCTCTCTCTTCTCCACTCCTCCAGCTTTCTCAACCAACTCTCTCCCTCTCCATTTTCTCCAAGCATTACTTCTACCATTCTCTCCTTCCGTCTAACTGTAAGTAAATATATAGAGGGTTAACTTAAAACAAAATTAATAATTGCGATAAAGTAGTAAATTAAGCGTCATGAATTGTTTTCTTTTTATTTTTTTTTTTATTTTTTTTTTTGAATAATGATTAGCGTCATGTAAGCAGCATTTGTGAGTAACGTACACCGACATCGATAAGAGAATGTACAGTGTGCGAAGATGGCGGGGACATGCGTTTCTTTTTCCGCTCCCGTGTTATAGATAAGACGTTCGCATGCACAAACGCAAAGAGCACTCTTACTAATTTAAATGCTCACTGATTACGGTGTAATTAGTATTTAAAAAGCTGGTAACGACGCAATTATTTACCGGCGTTGTTTATACCGTATATCAGCGATGCATCGCGATTCAATATCTGCGCACGTCCGCGTTCTACTTTGCATATCAATGCATTTCATTACGGATTTTTATTCCGCGCGTCCTCCTCTCAATAAATTTCAAACCGCGTGATTAACAGGATCATTGGACCCGATAAATGATTAACCGCGCGCAAACACGCGACTTCACGTGACTATTTCGAGAATATCCGCCTTGGGATTTCTTCTCCGCTCCGTCGTCGATTACGCGCCGCGTTGCCGTAAACAAATCTTAATAGCTCGATGTGAAAAAAAAAAAAAAAATAAATAAAGAAGAGTTGCGGCGAAAGAAACGGTAATTTTCACTTAATGCTAATGATCACGTGCTTTCCGTTCATTTCCGATCGCGGGTTATTCGCCGAAGGCGAAACGGAAAGAAAGAATAGAAGCTTCTTGCGGTCTCGTAAAATCAAACCGCACAAACAAACCCGCACGCGTTGGAAACGCGTGCGGCTGTTAATAATGCGGCTTGCCGAACGACCTATTCCCTCATATGTCTTCATGCGATTACGCGTTGCCTGCAGTTGTTATTATTTTTCAATGCAACACGCGGTTACCGCAGCTCGTTACCTCAACTCTCTGTCGTCCCGAAAAAAAAAAGAAAAAAAAAATACACACGGCGACTTATTTCTCGCCAAGTTTCTCTCGCTAACCGCTGAATATACGTCGGAAGCTATTCATCGTTTCGGAAGTTTTTACACGTACGAGCGTTGGAATTATGCGGCGCGTAAAAGTCAATATATTTAATTTCCCTTCGCAAAAATGTCGAACGCAACTTGTTTGAGATATGTGACAAATTATCAGATATATCTTTCAGATACATATCTTCGTCGTACAATCTCATAGTATTTTAACCACACATTTTTTATAATAAAATTAATTAAACGCGCGTGTATCTCTTTTCAACGACACGTTCGCACGTTGATTTATTTACAACATCTTTCTCTCTCTCTCTCTCTCTCTCTCTGATATTTCATTATTATACAAACAAAAAAAAAAAAAAAAAAAAAATTACACGCACGCATGGAAGGAATGAGATTTAATGAGCTAACATTTTTGCGATTTCCACGGCGTCGCCGTGCGATTGAAACAAGTCGCGCGTGCAACGTACGCCGACGATTTGCGCGCGATTTATTTACTTATCGTGTTCCATCGTCGAGGTACACGACCGTTCTAATTGAGATGTCACTCCGCCACTCGGTAATCGAATCAACGTTTCGCGAGAAACCCGAGAAGCCGCGCGCCAAGTGTCGCTGACGCAAATGCAAAAACTGTCGTGTGTAACACGCGTCCCGTCGACGGCTTAGAGATAAATATTTAATATCTAAATAAAGAATTTAAAATCCTTTTAAACCGATGTAGTTGCGGCAAAAAAATCGCCACGGTTCGATTTGAATGCCGCGATATCGCGTTCCAGCGAAACTGGCTTCGAACGAGACCGTCATTCTCGGCGAGAGAAATATCGAAGTTTTTTTATCGAGTCAAACGGCCGGGTAAAATCGAGATATTTCGCGAAGCAAATTGCGCGCAATCACGAGTCACCGAATTCATTTAGCAGACGGACGTATGGCTCTCTCGCGAACATAATTGGAGTGTTGCGTTACCCGCTCTCAGAACGCGCGCGTCGACTTCTGGAACGTTATCGCGCGCGAAAATCGGCATCGATGGAAAGCGCGAGATTAGTTACGGAACAAGCGCTCTGATGAGAAAAAAATTCTCCGTAAATGTGCGCATTCGAACTGCTTCGAATATCAACATTTTAATTGCGCCCGTGGCGCGTTAATCGAGCGAGCGGATCGGTTTTCAGTAGCACTTTGAGACGCCCAATTCCTACCGTCGTTGGCATCCCGCGGTGGATTTTACCCCGAGCGCGCGCAAAACGAGCGAAGCGTGAACGAGCCGCCTGTGCTTTCCAATTCGTATTCCGCGATCTCAATGACTTGCAACGCGCGCTGCTACTGTTGCGTGATTAATGTTTTTCTTTTTTTTTTTTTTTTTCGGAAGCGGAGATACGCGGAGCGCAGATCAATACGCGCGGATGACGAATTGCCCGCGTCTAACAACGATCAAGCCGTTAACGTCGACGTGTACAAATCGAAACGATCTGTTTGGCTTTAAATATTGTGGCCGGTTGAACTAGTTCCGCCCACAAAAATCCCACAACGTCTCTAAAACATCTACGTGTAAAAAGTGAAAATGTGCTGAAGTGTAAAAAAACCGTTCGCTTAAAAAAAAAAAAAATTCTATATTCGATTGGCTACTTTACTTCAACGCGGGCTGGTATCACTCGCGCGAAATGGCGGGAATAACTTTGTCGCGGCAAAACTTCGCGATTATACGGCAACTCTATTTATCGACTTCTAATTGACGTTTGATAAGAGTATCGGTTCAGCGAGAAACATTTCGCCGCGGCGAAAAATGTCTCTGTGTAACGAGTGAGTTGCAGCTTCGCGACAAACGCGACCGGAGGAACGGGTTCGCTTTATTATTTTTTCAATATACGACTCTGAATTTCGCGCTAATCCACGCGTGCTTCTCCCTCGTTCGAGTGTCTTACGCGAAATGTGAATTAGCATTATAGCGTCCGAATTTATCGGCGGCAATCTGATCGCGCGCGCGGCAAAGATCTCTCGCAACAAATCGCTCGCAACGGCAATCGCCGCGTCGCATACGCGCATTCGACTTATTGTCGGTATTAGAACGCTTTACGCGTAATAACGCGTACACACGGCACACGGTGTACGCACCGCTTAGGAGACATGGGAAATTAATCGCGTGAGAGTCCGACGCTCGCTGTGAGGCGCGTCGTTGTGGGCGAAAGCACTTACTTGACAAATTGCATTGAAAACGATAGCATGCGCGGCGCCGATATACACCGACCGAAGCGCGCGATATCGCGCTCGAGTAGTGTACGTGTTGTGTGTGTGTGTGTGTGTGTTTGTGTGTTTGTGCACCGCGCTCGCAATAGGATAACAGTTAATACCGTATATATTAACGTACAAAAGTGTCTTTTGAGCGGTCGAGCGTTAACGAACGATATTTACGATATCGCGCCGCGAAATTAATTGCGCCGCGATCGCGTTATGGGCGCCGTGGGCGAGGTATCATTTGTACGACCGGAGTCATTTGCGCGACCGACCGAGCGAATTGAAAACGATAGCGCGCGATCGAGACGATCGTTTCCTGTGTGTTTCGCTTTGATTGAGTTACGGTTGTCCCGGAACAGACTCGGCTCCCGCGAATTTTTCCCGCGCGATTAATGACGCGAGCTCGTTGCTCGCGTAACTCGGCAGCGAGCATCCCCGCGTAGTTAAACGCTTACTTCGTGCGTATCTCATAATTCTCCCAGCAGCCCATTAAACTTCGCTGATCCTTCCGCTGACGAGACAGCGAAGAGTTTCCGTACCGATCGCCTCTGCTGATTGTAATTTATGTAAACGCGAATCGTTTACGACTTTATCCCGGTCGATCGACTCGACGACGAAGTAATAGTTTTGTCACGGAGAGACGAATGTAAAATTCCCTCGTCCGTATAGAACATTCGATGAGGAGAGATTTTCGAATCGCGGCTTCTCCGGATCAACAACCTTAGCGTCTATAGAATATAAACTTTGAACATCGAAGTCGGCCAAAGGACGAGGTCGATCAAAACTCACCTGATGTATCGCCGTGGGCGGATGATGGTCCTGTCTGGGTGTAACCGCGTCGGCACCTATTCCAGAATCAGGACTAGGAAGATCAACGGTGAGGACTTTGCTGCTACTCGACGACGAGCGTATCGCGTGTGTCGTAGCGTATGAGCTTGGTACAACCTCGTACCTCGTGTACGAAGCGGTCGTGGTCGACAACGAGGAAGAAGTCGAGCTCGACGAGGCAAGTGGAGGCAACGCGTCGCCGGTGACGTAGACCGTCGTCGCCTCCTGATGGAGACCGCTGGTGGTTGACGGGTTCCCCGTCCCGGTTGCTGACGTGGATGAGTATGCGGCCGACTGCAACCGCGGACTGCAGGGCGTGTATGGATCGTAAGGGCTGCCGTACTGTTGCACCTGTTGCACACACGCACGAATTGCGGTTTTGCGACAATTTGCGATCGCTTTCGACGTTCACAATGTTCACACGTTCGATCAATTTTTAAAACCGAGGAAACGGAAAGAAGACGAATGTTTGTGTATATGTGTGTGTGTGTGTGTATATGTGCGTGAAAAATATCTCGCGATTTTTTTACCTGAAAAAAAGCTTTTCTCTCTTTGAGAGTGCCGAGAAGTTTCGACTACTCATCGCTGTGCGTCAAACAAATTGATTAAAAGTAAATTGAGTTATGGATTTTGAAAGAACATGATTGCGGTTAACAATGATCGCATAAATCTTGCCTGTAGCTGATGTTGATGATGATGATACATTCCCGGTGGTGTAGGACTCTCGGGCTGTACCTGTTTGTGTCGTTTGCTAGACTGCTGGGCCCCGCGGGACGAGCTAAGATCTTCTGGCTCCCTCTTGACCCCGAGACCGGCGCTGGAGGCGCCGTCGTGTCTCAACGATTGCGGACTCAACGGAAGCGGAATACCGCCCTGCAAATTCTGACCGGGACTGTGCGACTGTTGGTTGTACTGATGGAGAAAATGATGCAGCTCTCCCCCTCCGGCGCCTTCTCCGGCCTCCATGCGATTCGTCGAGGCGGAACCGGAGCCAGGCGCCTCCTGTACCAGCAGCTTCTGGCTCATTACACCCCTTCAAAATGAAGAATTATCGTTCAATCCAAAGAAGCGAAGCCACTTTCCTGATAGAAATTAAATCAGTAACTGGCTAGCAATTGGTCAGTTTTCCTAATTACTTAGCAATTTCTATAATCGATATTTCTAATCTGTTTTATCAGAGAAATTGATAAGTTTAGGCGACGCTTGTTTTTGGCCAGTGATTGCAAAATAATCAATGTCTGACTTGTTTTGGTTAGTTAAACAAAAATAAACATAAAAATATAAAAAAGCTACTAAAATATAGCTGACTTATACGTATATAAATGATTCAATATATTCTATATTTATAATTTATAATTCAATATAATGCAATATATTCTATATTTGTTCTTAAATTAAAATTAATCTGAAAGAATTGTCTGTAAAATATTTGATAAGGAGGTTTGAATTAGAACTTCTTCAGATCGACAAGTTTATATACTAAACTTGCTTTGAACATTTATGTTTAATTTTTGTTACATTAATGAAAAAACACATATAGATCGATATAAATTTAGATTATATAACTTTTTGAAGTCGAATAACTTAAACAGAAAAACTGACCAGTTTTTTTCTGACCAGTAACTAATTTTATCCCCGAATATATTTTTTCATTAGAGTTCAAAATAACTCGTCTGCTTCAACAACTATTAATTTTGTTAGGATTGACACGCACAAATGTTTCCAAATTTCTATTTCAAAATGCTTCACGTGTTTTATCGTGTGCTGTTATATTTAAAGCTAGCATATATGTTTCCATTGAAATGATAATTGAATTGCCAACTTGGAACAAATGCCAACGCGTTTTTTTCTCTTTTATTGCTCTCCGTCTGCGAATAAAATCGACGAGGAAAACTGGCGCTACACTTCCTTTCCGTCGCGCGAAGCTGCATCTGCCGAAGTCGGCAATAAAATTTCCGACGCGCGCGCGAAAGAACGCGATTCGTCGATCGACCGTACCGAGAAGAATCGAGAGGATCCGCGATATTATGCGAAGTAGTTAACATGTTATATTTAGCATGATAATACGTATCCACAATAACGGGGACCCTTATAAACTGCCAACGCTCTCGGTGCACGTCGTTTCTCTCTCTCTCTCTCTCCTTTTTCCTATCATCTCTTCGTCTTTTCCGTGTGTAAAGAATCTCCCCTCGCACGTCCTGGCAAACCTTATGCCGGGTTTTTCTCTCTTTCTCTCCTTAACCCTTTCTCTCCCTAAAAAAGTACATATCCCTCCCTCTATCTCGCTCTATCCTCTCGCGCTGCCACGGTATCTACCCCACGGTCAGATGCTTCCGTACAATGGAATTTTTTACACTTGATACCTGATCTCTCGTCATCCCGTCTCTGTCTCTCCCACTTCCACATTCTCATTCCTGTTTCTCGTCTGCCCCGCAATGCATACGACGAAAAGAATGAATGCGGGAAGGACGAGAGAGAGAGAGAGAGAGAGAAAGAGACTATCCGGCGTGTGATGCGTCGCCCTCGGCACACTTGTGCCTGAAGAGGTGCGGATAGGTCTCGGGACCGTGACGGGGAAAAGGCAACGGGTGAATCTCTGATCACGAGACCGGGCACGTTCTTCTTACGGCACAAGCGAACGAGAACGCGCTCACCGCACTCATAACCCGGGGCCATGGCGGCCTCATGAATTCGGCTTACGTGAAATGGATCTCTCGCGACGTTTTCTCGCGAGAAACATTTTCCCCGATAATGCGATGCTAATCCGAGAACGCGCGATGTAAAAAGAAATTCGCGTGCGCCCACCTTGGGAAACTCGATATGGAAAGTTTTTGGTCTCAGGTATAGACGCGCAAGGTGTCAGATTGCAGACTGAGTCTCTGACTGACGTTTTGAACTCTCTCGCTCTCTCTTTCTCTCTCTCTCTCTCTCTCTCTCTCTCGGTTTTGTGCAACTGTCATCGAAACGTCTTCATTCGAGGTTTCAGAAACGCGCGAGCTTCTGCTAATTAAAAAACAAAAGGCAGAAGAGAATTGCTTGTGAAGGCGCTACCTCGTCTGTTTGCGAAAGGTTCAAAGAGAACATTGTTTTTTCAAATTTTCTCTCACACATTTTGCTTCAATTTGCATAGACATAAAAATGTGTTGCATTCATAATCACAAACAGCCACGGAATAAATCTCTCGGCGGTGTTGTTGAACAACGTGCGAAACGAGGTATTTTTTTTCGCGGCTGCGCGTTGAGGAGTTAAGTGCCGAATGTTAGTGGTCAGACAAGAAGGAGAGAAGAGGAAGAGCATACAAGAAGAGAGCAGCGAGGGGGTTCAAACATAAAACGAAGGAGAGGTCAACGCTCGCTTTCGGGCCGGCTATTTCGTTAGAGCTACCTACGCGCGCGTGCGCGTCCAGGCGTTCGTATCACCGAGCAGTGTCCGAGCATTCGTGTCGCTACACGGAGAGAATTCTCGTTAATCACATTGCGGACGAAAAAATAAGAAGCGCGCGATAAATCACAAAATCGGAACATCGCGCAACAAACCGCAATAAACGCGTCATCGAAGAAACCGGAGAAGATCGTGGATTACCTTCTTTTCCCATTCTACGATGAAAAATCTCGTCTATTACAGCGGTATTCGCGTCTTTCCGGGGGGGTCAGTACGCGCCGCGTGCGAATTTCTGCCCCGTTGCGCGCGCTCGCGCGCTACAAACGAGTAAATTACGCCGCGAGCGCCGCGGCATTCCGCGCGGTCTTTTTTTTTTTTTTTCACCGTCGGGGAGAGAGGGTTCCGCAGCGTGTTGCGCGTATAACTGCGCAACGCGCGTACCGTGCGCTCTTATACGCGCGCAAGAAGCAATTACGTGCTTACGGTGCGGCATTAGCGACGACAAGTCGGCACTCGCACCGACGGCGGCGGCGACGGCCCCGACACGTGAACCCGCAGGTCGCCGGGGTCACCGCAGGGTCGCACCGCTGTTTTGTGCGAACACGGTGTGCGTACACGCATGTGTTCGGGGAACCTATCTACGAGCGCGGCTCGTCGAGCAACCTGCGGCGCCAGGACGCGCTGCTTGCGGTACTACCCGCTTGCGGAACCGGAATCGGACATTTCTTCAAACCGGAAATCGACCGTATTTTCATTGCGCGCGCGCGTGTGTGTGTGTGTGTGTGCGTGTCGTAAAGGCGGACGGACCTGTTGCGCGCATATGTGGCACGAGACGAAACTCGAAAGACAGGTCCGACAAAGTGGCGCTCTACCGGCACTCGTTCGGGTCACTTCTTTGATTATTATTGTCGGTCTGCTTTTTTTTTTCCTTCCATCTTTCGCGTCTGAGGCGGGCTTCTCGTATACTCGCGTCTTACGGCGTCTTTTTTCTTTTTTTTTTTGCCTTTACGAGCGCACACGCATGCACGCACGTCGGCACCTGAGTTTTACGGCACGTGCCGCCGAGACTCTCGCGGCAATGTCAACGTTATGCATACCGTATGTACGTACATATGTATGGTACGTACATCCGAGAGGAACGAATTTAGATGCGCGCGGCGTGACCGACGACGACGACGTCTGCCACTTCTCACGATAGTCACCGCGCTCGCGCGCGGCTTCTCTCTTCTAGTGCTTTACTTACTTCCTAGAAGAATCGCGCGCGCTTCTCAGAACACGTTCCCCATCATCGTCGGTGGCTTTCGGGAATTATGAAGCGTCCCTTGACCCTGGACTTAATGCCCCCGCGATTTCATCTATGGCTCTCTTGCGTACGAGCCATCTCATTTGTATTTCACGGAGTAATATGCGATACGCGCGGATTATCGCGACGCAAAAAATCGCCAAGTTTTCTCCGCACAGAAATTCCGAAGATGTGTGTGTACACATCGAACGATCGTGAGCGCGCGATAATTTTATCCGCGACTCGGTAATTTTCCAACGAAGGAGAATTGCCGATCTCCTCACGGAATCGCGCGCGCGCGCGCGCGTTTGCAGGGTGCGCAAAACCGCAAAACGTCGCCGAATAATCGCAAAACTCTACACTCGCGAAACTCTACACCGTCTTGTTACATCTCGCGGGGTCGACACTCCTCGAATTTCGTCGTTGGTTAACCGCGGTCGCCGATATTACGGAACACAGCCTTATGGAGATTCGCCCCGGTTCTCAGACCTTCGCAGATTGTCCTCGGCATTCTGATCCACGCCTTCCTGTTTTGCAAATGAGACACTATGAGGCGATCCGGTTTCTCGAAATCTGGTTCGTGCGTGAATCAACTCCTGCGAAAATGTGCTGCGCGCTTAAATGATCTTTGACTTCGTTCGCGACGATCGGAGCCGAGGGGAAAAGAATGTAATGTCGCATTCAAAGTGTCTCTTCTGACCCCGCGGAGTGTCGCCAGGACTCGCCCGTTTTCTCTTCGAAGCGTTCCCGCGCTCGCGAGCTTGACGATCTTGCAGGCAGAAAACCCGTAAGGTGATACAAAACAGACGGCGCGTTACGGTGTTTTCTAATCGTAAATTCGAGCTAACGAGATAATATCGCCGCGAGCTGGCGATCGAGCGAGCCAGTTCTTACCCGGGTAATCGAGAACCTTATAGTTCCGCAGTATGTTGTCCGACACTGTAACTGTCGACAACATACTTGTCGCGACTCGCGTAATTGGCGGACTGTTCGCTTCCCTTTTCCGGTTTATGGAGATCGGTTTCGTGAGAAAAAAAAAATTTTACACAGACGGAAATATATAACGTGATTTATTATTTAATTGATAACTCAATTAGTTCGAAAGGCGAGTGAAAATGAGAAGAAATATTTCACGCATATCGTGTGGGAAGGAGAATGTATTACACTCGTTATGGCGCGAGAAGTTTTTTTTTTTTAAAACGTTGTACGAGCGCGATCCTGTAATTGGCACAGAAAATTAATAAATAAACACTATACCGTAGAATATAATGAAGATCAGTTTCGAGCTTGGATGTTCAATCTTTTTACATAAAAGATATATTACATTGAAGGAGTGCAAAACGTTTCGAACTCTAATAAGAGTCTTCCTC